AGCACGCTTTTCCAGTGCCAACAAACTTTACCCGCATGCATATCCGGTGCGAGTAAAGGGGCTATACTTCAGAAAACTCGTCTTAAGCTAAATGATTTTTTAACATACAACTTGTACTGTAAAACATATAAATTTATAAGTATTTCTATTCTTATATTTCTTTAGATCCCACTTGTCAAATCACGGGACTAGATTATATATATTCTGACATGAACTTAAATAATTAAAGTCCGTTATTCTGAATTTACATTAACACTGGTCATAAAAGGTTATTTTTGTCCCAGATTAACCTTATACAATTATAATTATGACTAGGGGATGTAACCGGTACAAGTTTTTATGACATTATGTAATAATACTGTAATACCTGTAGTGTGTAGGGTTTAAAACGTAACATATTTTCTCTGATATTTCTATTACATCTCAAAAGAGACTGTATAGTAATTATCAATTTTTTGGCCGGGTTGCACGGAGTTAAAGTATGGTGAATGTCGGCGGTGGGCGGGCAGTCAGGCGGGGAAAACATTTCGTAACAGATATCTCTGCAACTACTTATCACAGTCTCTTGATATTTGGTATACAGCATAATACTATGCGATTCTATTTCAGGTCTGCCTTTATCCAATTCCTTTTAACAGACTTACTTAAATTTTCAACATTATTGGTCATTGGTAGGAAATTTTCGCAGCATTTTCTCAGCAACTACTTATCACAACCGCTTGATATTTGGTATACATCATTAACAGTAGTCCCATACCGTGGGATTCGATTTCAGGTATGTCCCTCATCCACTTCCTGTTTACCGACTTAGTCAACTTTTCAATATTAATGGTCAATGGAAGGAAATTTTCGTAGCAACTTTTTATCACAGCCTCTTGATATTTGGTATACAACATTAACACGTGGTCGCATGATTTCAATGCTTTATTCTTGAAACACATTTACAATATATAATATATAGACATCTTTACAGGAGCACAGTACTCTTGCTCATTGGTTGGTTGTAGACCATAAAAAGTAACTCTCATCCCAGGCAGGATTAAAGTCCACAATTGTGAGAAGCAAGTTATTCTAAGAAACATTGATACTTCGTGAGAGACCTTACTCTCAAACTTACAGTAGCATGATGATCATATAACACTAATTCTGAGAGGTCAGTCGAGCGTTCTACAAAGATCATTTGAAAGCTCCAACGACAATATTAAGCACGAATTTAAATTACACATTACAGTCTGTTTATTTAGGGACTGTTTCATAAACATGAACCATAGTGACCGCATCGGGTAATGAGCCACCGTATAAACAATTTCCATGAAAAATAAGGTTACCTCCCCTATTATCTAACAAGACGGCATGCTTTACCATTTCTGCAGTGTTCAATAATATGACAAGAATGTTAAAAAACTGATTTAGTCCCTGCAAGTGCAAATCCTTTAAAATATTTCCAAATTGATACAGGAAAATAATTAAACTTGAATGCTTTTTATTGAAGTACATTGAAGACCTATACCATTATTCACCCGAGAAGTTTTAAATGAATGCCTTTATAATGAATTGGCAGACAAAATTTGAATTCTGTGACTCAGACACCAACGTGACTAAATTAGATCCCTTCTATTCTAACAAGAATTTGTAACTAATGGAAGTTTACATGAAGCACAAAATTTACTATTCAAAAGATGAAGGTATGGTCCAAAATTTTGATCAATGCTACATCTGCACATGCAAGTAACAATAAATTCATTTTAGAAATTTCATGAAACAACTCCTGTGTATGTGTCAACAAAAACACATTTGTATACTTGTTATCACTATTTCAAAGCAAATACAAAATCAAAACAGGATATGGTCTGTTACAGGCCAGTCATAAATTAAGGTATGCGGGCTATTCACCAATGACATTTTATTTGCATGAGCTTGACTGGACATCATACCCCGAAACAGACTATTTTAGGCTTTGACCTCTAAGTGTGACCTTGACATTTGAAGTAGGGGTCTAGGTGTTGCACATGACATGTTTTCTAATTATTGTAAAAAAATGTGCCAAGTTATTTCAAAATCCCTTGATTGATGAAAAAGTTATATACCTCATACAAAATATACCCTAGAACAGATAATGTTAAGCTTTGGCACTCAAGTGTGAAGGTGAATGACATTTTATTTGCATGAGCTTGACTGGACATCATACCCCGAAACAGAATATTTTAGGCTTTGACCTCTAAGTGTGACCTTGACATTTGAAGTAGGGGTCTAGGTGTTGCACATGACATGTTTTCTAATTATTGTAAAAAAATGTGCCAAGTTATTTCAAAATCCCTTGATTGATGAAAAAGTTATATACCTCATACAAAATATACCCTAGAACAGATAATGTTAAGCTTTGGCACTCAAGTGTGACCTTCACATTGAAGTTAGGAGTCTGGCTGTTGCATATAACACAAGGTCACATTATTGTGAACATGTGTGCCAAGTAATTTCAAAATCCTTTGAACAATAAAACAAGAGGGCGAAGATGGACATGACCCATCATTTCATTGTAATCCAAGCGATATGAAACATATTAGAAGTAGGTCAACTGATATCAAAATTCAACTCGGCATCAATAAGAATATCCTTGGTCCAAATTCCATGTTTGTATCTCAAAAAGCAAGAAAGTAGGTCAAATGATATCAATAATATCAAAAGTATATCAGCTGATGTGGCATCAGAAATTACACGCATGGTCCAATTTTCAAGTCCGTACAAAAAAGTAGGTCAAGTGATATAAAAAATATCAAAAGCAGGTCAGCCGATACAAATATTCGATTCTGCATCAAACATTACACCCCTGGTCCAAATTTCAAATTTGTACTAAAAATAAAACGTGATACTAGGTCAAACGATATCATTGATATCGAAAGTAGGTCATTTGATATCAAAATTCAATTCACCAGAAATGAATGTATGGTCCAATTTCAAGTCAGTTTGATGACAATTGAATTAAAAAATGTGACCACTAGAGTGTAAACAAGGGTTTTTCCATGTTTGGGCGCTGTGACCTAGTTTTTGACCCCAAGTGACCCATATTCGAATTTTACCTAGAAATCATCAAAACAATCTTTCAGACCAATTTCCAGGATATTTGGATCAAAACAGTAGCCACAAGAGTGTTAACAAGATTTGTCTATTTTTAGCTCCTATGACCTTGTTTTTCATATGAGATGACCAATGTTCAACTCAATCGAGCAATTACCTAGACAAGCATCCTGACCAAGTTTGATGACAATAGACAACTAGAGTGCTAATAAGGTTTTTCCTTATTTGGGCAGTGTGATCTAGTTTTTTACACCAGGTGACCCATATTCGAACTTGACCTAGAAATCATCAAAACAAACTTTCTGACCTTTTTCAAGGATATGTGGATCAAAACCGTAGCCACTAGAGTATTGACAAGATTTTTTTTAGCTCTTGTGACCTAGTTTTTTATGTGAGATGACCCATGTTCGAGATCATTTATGCAATAACCTAAACAAGCATCCTGATAAAGTTTGATGACAATTGAGTCAAAAATGTGACAACTGGGATGTTAACAAGGTTTTTCAATATTGGGTAGTGTGCCCAAGGAGACCCATTTTCGAATTTGACAATTATCAAAATAATCATTCAGAAAAAAATCCAGGAAATTTGGATCAAAACAGTAGCCACTAAAGTGTTAACAAGATTTCTCTATTTTTAGCTCCTGTGACCTAGTTTTTCATCCGATATAATCCATGTTCCAAAAAGTCTTAGCAATTACTAACAAGCATCCTGACCAAGTTTGATGACAGTTGAGTAAAAAAAAATGTGACAACTAGAGTGCTAATAAGGTTTTTTTCATATTTGGGCGGTGTGACCTATTTTTTTTTACCTAGGTGACCCATATTTGAACTTGACCTAGAAATCATTAAAACAAACTTTCAGACCAATTTCCAGGACATTTGAATCAAAACAGTGGCCACTAGAGTGTTAACAAAGTTTTTTTTTCTTCTATTTTTAGCCCCTGCGACCTAGTTTTTCATCTGAGATGACCCATGTTCAAACTCATCTGAGCAATTACCTTGACATGCATCCTGACAAAGTTTGATGATGATTGAGGCAAAAATGTGACCACTAGTGTTAACGAACAAATGTAGACGGACGAGGTACAATGTACATTCAATGGTCCTAAAAGCTCGCCCCGAGCTAGCTAAAAATTATTGACTGCACATAAAATATACCCTATAATAGACCATGTTAAGCTTTGACCTCTAAATGTGGCCTTGACCTTGGAGATAAGGGTCCAAGTGTTGTGTATCACACATCGTCTTATTATTGTCAACATTTATGCCATGTATTTTCAAAATCCCTTGATGGATGAAAAAGTTAAACACAGAAACAGAATATACCCTATAACAGACTATGTTAATCTTTGACCTCCAACTGTGATATTGAACTTTGAGGTAGGCAACTGGTTTTTACGCATGACACATCGTCTTATTATTGTGAATATTTGTGCCAAATAATTTCAAAATCCCTCGATCTATGAGAAAGTTATGGACCGGACACAAAATATACTCTGTAACAGACTGTTAATCTTTGACATCCAACTGTGACCTTGACCTTGGAGGTAGGCGACTGGTTTTTTGTGCACAACACTTCATCTCATTATTGTGAACATTTGTGCCAAGTATTTTCAAAATCCCTTCATGGATAAGCTATGGACTGGACACAACATATACCCTTAGGTTGACAATGTTAACCTTTAATCACCAAGTGTGATTTGACCTTGGAGGTAGGGGTCCGGCTGTCACATCATCTTATCATAAAAAACATTTGAGCCAAGTTATTTCAAATTTCTTTCATAAATGACATAGTTATAGACCGGAAACAAAAATTTGACAGATGGAGCCTATTTCTATATCCCCCTTTTCTCTTTGAAAAGGCGGGGGACAATAATAAAGATAGAAACACAACAAAATCCTTTCCTATTAAATTAATATTTATTTTATATTCAGAATACAAAAATATTAGCTGTACAAAATATATAAAACAAATTGAACTATAATACACAAGTATCACACTTTTCCTTTCCATAATTTCATTATAATTATATATAAAACAATTTCATATAAGAATATACAATGCACTGACTGATATGTTTCCATGATATACAACCTGTACAAAAAACTGCTAAAATTATTTTTTGATAAACATTTACATATATTTTCCTATCTAGCTCCCTTAATGATTTTATTGTTTGTGAATTTGAAAACTGGAATTTTAGGTAATAATATCAATAACTGAATTTCCTACAAAGATATCTGTACTCTAGAAATTCTTTAAAAAGCAATAAAACTTGAAGTTCAATTTCTTTCGTATTCCTATGAAATGACACAATTTTTTCTTTGATTCCTCTTAATCAAAAACATGTTCATTTTTTTTTATCTGTGAAATGACAAGACTTCATTAGTGACCTATTACAGTATGTTCACTATAATACTTTAGGTAATTGTACCATGGACAATACAATTATATTTGTATGGTAGATAAATGTAGGTCTATTTTCTGCTTTGATCTTCTATTAAAATTGAAATTCAGATTTTTATTACAAGTCCCAAGTAGTGTTAAACACTACATAAAATCAGCTAACATATAATTATGCTATGAGTATGTACAAATCAAATATAAAATGGAATGTTATATATGCTTAAATGATATAAATGTTTAACTATATACAGTTAGTTATAAAAGTGGTTTTAAAAAAGTATAAATGAGAAGGAAATAACAAAAGTCAAACCAGACTCAGGAAAGAATACATGTAATGATAATGTTATGTAATTTTAATATTATATCCACCTGGTAAACAGAGAGAAGGGTCTGTATTTAGAGATACATATGAAAATTTAAACAGAAAGAAAATGGAATGACACTAAATCATATCTCCTGTTCACTTGGTTTAAAATATTCCATGTATTAATGTACATATACTACTATTTCTATGTGTATAGTTACATGAAATACAACACGTATTGCAATCTTGACAACAGTGCTTTTCTAAATTTCAGATGATTTGTAATTAACTTTACAAAACTATTGCCTTGACTATATAATTGAACTCTGACCTATGCAATATCATCAATATTGCACTCGTAAAAAAGATACAAGACAAATAAATTCTTAAACCATCCAGACAAATAATTGCTCAATAATTAAAAATATTGCTTAGCCTTATGTCACATAATGAAAGTACTAACTATACATAAAGGTGTACTCTTAATAGAACAGAAATTCTTGAGCCACAAATTAAAGTTTCAAAATTATTTTCATACAGTAAAATTGCAATTCTGTAATATTTACATAAAATACACTAAAAATTCTGAGCTGTACAATAATAAAATAGTTTCATATATTTTCAACATTTTGTAGATAACACATTAAATGGCACTCTTGTGACTTGACTAAAAGCACTTTTAAACAAGATCTATGTGTATATAAAACAAGTTTTATAATCCATAATGTATTCAATCAAGGAAGTGTAAATGTTTAATGAATAAGATAAAATCTGTCTTTGATTTACAAGGAGAGAAAAGAAATGATTCAAAATTGATACATGATACCCCTGATTAACAATTGCAAGGTACAATCTTCATGAATAATTTGGTCACAATATGAAAATGAAATCACAGTGTAAAATGTCTGTATATACAGGAAGACTTGTCTATATTTCTGTCTACTTTATAAACAATTATTTACAGAAATGTTTTAAGATGTTGTCATGTTTTCAGTGTTTCCATAGCAACAATGACAAGGTGGTAAAAGCAATTAGGACAACATTTGCCATAGCAGCATCTGCTCCAGCTATTCTGCACCTCAATGTGTCATATCTGAAAGAAAGACAGATTTCATTTCATTACACATTACAGTGTCAAAAATTGTTTAAATATTTTTAATAGACAAGATTTTTCATCTAAGACCAGTATTTGGGCAGGACAATAAATAAAAACACGATACCTTTTAACAATTAACACAATCAATGAAGAAAACAAATTAGGTACAGAGTTAAGTTCATAGAGCAAAAATGTAAAAAGCCAATTAATTATATCTTCCTTCTATTTTTTTAAAACACCTATCAGACATATCAAAAATCATAAATGATTTCAATTTTACGACGTTACCATATGTTCAAAATTACAGCAAAAATGTTGTTGTTTTGTTTCTAACAAAATAGCTTTTTGCTCTTGCTAATTTTGAATCGCTTTTTGCAGTTGCTAAAATTGAATAATCATAGAAATTAAACGTTAAAACTAATGTACCTGTTTGGTTCACCAAGTCTTTTCTTTGAATACTCTTCTTCCATTGTCTGACCGTGAAAGAACCAGGACAGGTCAATAAATGGATATTCATAACCTTGACGACACTCACACTTGTAAGCACCTTGCTCAAATCCTTTGCCTGGCAGAGGCACACACTGAAATATAATTCAAAATTACAGACTATTTATCATTTTAGAAAAAAATCTACACCAAGTTCTACATTGGCTGCATAAATTTTTTATCCCAAGAGTGGTTATAAACAGCCACATGGTATCCAGTGAGTACGCCACTCCTTGATGATCCTTAAAGCTTCTGTAATGTTGCCACAGCAACAGTCTAATTTTGACACCAGAGAACAACCACAGTGCCAGTTACGTGATTATTCCGCCAGTGCCAAGACAAGACTGCCCAAGTCCTCAATCTCTCTTGCCCTTTATTTCTGCTGTGCTGCCCTGTGCAATCTGATGGTCCTTGTCCTCTGAATGTCCCAGTATATATATTATATCTGCTATTGGATTTGTAAAATATGTGCATCTACAATACACATTTCATATATACTTGATCCCAGGATAGATAAAAAATCTAGACATTGGAAATAATTACTATAAATATGATTTTGTATTTATTTAAAGACATATAAAAAATATTTATATAGGACCATGAGGCAACGTAAGGATTCGAAAAATTCCATCCATCAAACTAAACAACTAAAGTTTATAATCAAAATTACACATGAAAAAAATTTCTTTTCTCAATTTGTCACTGCAGAAACGAGTTATAATTGAAAAATAAAAACTTTCTTTTTTCATAGGAAAATTTTTATATTCCTGCATGAAATAAGTTTAGCTTTCACTAATTATGTGAATCGATATGTCTGGACTACATTTTCAAGTTTCTCTCAATTTTAAAAAGTTTAAACAGGATTTGAAAGTTTACCAACTGATTACCATTTTGGGTGTATAGGAAAAATATCCATAATAACAAGAAAGTTTGAAACATTTTTAGTTCTAAAAATAAAATACATGCGATTATAATGTGCCTAAGTCTTGTTACTTTGCTTTATAGAATGTCTCTCAATATCAAATATATATAATTTAAAACTATTAGAACAAAGGTATATTTAGAACTTACATATTGTGATCTGAAATCACATTTTGCTGTATTCTTGAAGGCATTGGCAACATAGAAATCGGCTGGACATTGGTTAATGTCGAGGTATTTCAACTTGACATCAATTCTTACCACTCCCCTGTAATGTTAAGAAATCACAATATAACAAATACAATCTGGTAAATTTTAGCCTGCTTCAGTTCACTTATATCTGTATTATAAATAACACTAATAAACATGTAAAGTGTATTGTTACTTCTTCCGATATTAACAACCTATCAATACCAGTATATTTTAACTGCAGATAATTTTCAAATCATTCAAGAAACAAGTTATAGTTACCTTTAACAGAATATAATTTCAAATGAATTAACATTTTTAAATCTGATCTGACATTTATGTAAGCATTTCTTGTGTCAAATTAAACTGTAATTCTGGGCGGAATCTGAATGGTAATTATTCTGTTCCGTTTCTGGACAGAACATTTTGTACAGGCATTAATAGTAATTTATACTATCTCTAATGCTTTGGCAATCTATTTTGAACCAAATATCTAATACAAACAGAAACTTACTTAAATTCGATCTGTGACTTGATGCTGTTTAAACCAAAGAAAGGAACTGTGTAGGTTGACACCCAGTCATCAATATAACCGTCACATTTGAACTCGGGTCTAGACCATTCACCATCTTCATAGCTTGGAGCTTTATATGTGATTGGATAATGTTCAAATCGGATGGAACTTGTTGAATTAGGACTGGAACGTATCATTGGTTTGTCAACAAACTTCTTCAAACTGTGGAAATTTGTCGCCCATCTTTGCTTCATTCGTCTAAACCAAAGCTCATCTGTATATCTATAAGCTGCAATACCTGCAGAATCTATGGCTCTAAAGGCATCAAGACCATCACCAGGGTTCTGTATTTTCCATGAGAATGGTCCAAAGAATTCTCTGGTGATTGCATTAGAGTATCTTGGATCTGTAGTATTAACTGGTGGGGAAACTCGGAACTTGTACTGGTCAAAGTAGGCACCAGCACCAAGGACCTTGAAATCACCCATAACTGTAGCCAAAACTTCACCAAATATATGGGTCTCATTCAGTCTTCTGTCTCCTTTAAGATTACCAAATTGTTCATATTCATCAACGTTCTGTAAGAAGTTACTAAGGAAATGTGATAAACGTAGAGCAGTTCTACCTTGAGCTTCAAACTGTCTCTCCACACCATATCCAGCATCACCAGGTAAATAAAGTTCAAAACTTTCCCTTGACTTGCAACTTTCCTTTGTCACATTAAAAAACCTCTGACGAATGTTGGACATTCTTTCCCATGACTCATACTCAAAGGCTTCTCTCTTCTTACGAACCTTTCTCGTCTCGTCATCATATCGTCTTACAAACTGCTTTCTATATGTTGCTGCCACATACTGTTCATTACCATCGGCACTGCGACGCTTTCTGTTGGCAACCAGTCTAAGTTTAGGAGAAGCAGACTGCTCTAACATTGGACTGGTTAGTAGCAAAAACTCATCTTTCTTAGTTGCTGTATACAATGTTGATCTTTTCTCTCTACGTACAAACTCTGGCATCTGATTTGGAACGACTTGCATCTCTGTTGAAAAACACGCATCAATTGATTAAACATACACTAAAATAAGTTAACACTAAAGCAGGAAATATTTCAATTTGTTCCTTTGTACAAGTACAATAATAAGTAGACTTTAATCTTCTATAAATATAAAAATTCATTACATAATATACTAGTCAAGCAAAGCTATTTAATTCACCTTTATTCTTTCACCTAAAAGCATGTCACAAAAATAATCAATCAAGAATCATAAACCATTACTCCTATATAACAATATCTCAATGAAAATTGAAACTAAACCTTGCACTGGACCAAAATTTAATTTGATATAATCCACATAAAGTTACCTTCAGCTTTGAGACAGTCAAATCCATATTCATATTCTTCCAGTGTAGCTTGCTCAATCTCCCATCCCTGGAACGGACCATCATGCCACCACGGGTAATAGTAACCTGGTAAACACACACACTGGTAACCACCACGACGGAACCCATACCCACTGATTGGCTCACACTGAAACACAATTACATAATAAATACAATACTTGAGAAAACTCTCCCTATTGACTAACAATAAAATAGTTACTTTAACATTGTTTCTGACCACTTGTTAGACAAGAATTGTTTAAAGAGTGGAAACCAACTTGTTCAAAACACTCATTTTTAACTCAACAATGTCATAAAACACTGATAAAAATTATATAAACATTGAAATTAGAACTCAAAGTTGTAAAAATAGGATTTCATTGTTAAACATTCTATTGACAACCAAATGAATAAATCAGTATAATGAAAAATGACAGATTTTTCCCTGTTCTCAATATCATAAAACCTTAAACAAAAAAAGTACTTTTAAGAAATGCAAAAACTTTCTTTATCTTGAATGTATTGAACTGAATTAAAGCATTTAACTGCATTTACAATTAAACATTGATTGGCAATGTAATTGCTCAGAGTATAAATATTTCACAATGCCTTGAAAGTTAAATAATTTTATGTTATTTAGACTTGGTTAATTATTAAAATCAGTGCTAGTGTTGACTGAATATACGACCAGTGTTGACAAAGATCAACCAGCACAATTCCAAACAGTCTGATCAGGGTCTGCACTGTTCACTATTTAGTCTCAGTGATTTTTTTCTTATTTTACAGCCGAATAAAGGCTGTTTCCCCTAGCCCAAAATAGGTATATTTTCCCCTAAAAATGCTACTATTTTCCCCTAAAATGCCCTGTGCACATTCTTCACCTAAGAATCATGACTTAACAGCAGCTGACTTATACAGAAAGCTGTCCCTGTATCTGCTATGTACCATGCATGTTAAATTGAATTGAAATTGAAAATTTTATAAAATGTGTGGGTAAATTCCATTTTCAGTTGTTGGAATTTGATTTTCCCCATTTTTCCCCTTCAGAAAGCCACAGGTTGTTTTGAAAATTAAAAAAAAATCACTGCAGTCTGTACATGTATTTTAAAAATTTCCCTAAAAAATGATGAATTGGCTTGTCTTTATTGAAATATGAACAAATCCATTAACATATTAAGTATACCAGTATTAGATAAGGGTTAAAAAACACTGTAATTATAAAAATCTAAATAAATTGTACAATGCATTGATAACAACCTTAAATAGCTTAATCATTTATTTACTAATTCCTATATATTTAATTTAAAAATAAGTTAAAAATCTTACATCATACCAAAGTTCCTATTTTTCCTGATTTTTTTTTCTTTTCCAACAAACTTTAAATTTTATAACATGTTATTTGTATTTTTACCCCAATTTCATCCGCTAACCAGCTTTATCTTTACTTCCTTTTAAAAAAGAAAAACGTTTCAATTTAAAGTTTTAAAATGTGACAGGCTACAATTTCCCCCCATCATTTTTCTTTTCTACCTTTTAAACCAATAATTACTCTGCTTTCTGTCAACCACATGATCTTCATCTAAATTAAGCTCAATAAATGATGGGAAATTGTAGAAAATTATCTACAGGAACATGTTATTTCAATCTCACCTGATACTTTCACAATACACTCTATACCATAAATTTATATATATTATTAAGCTAAATCAAAATATTTTCATGACTAAACAGACTGTATCCTATTATAACTAAAATCTTGTCCAATTAAAAAATAAAATAATTTACAGCAAAAAGCTAAGCAAGAAAAAAATCCTTGTTTAAAGAAATTCCCAGTTATCGTTAGAACATTATTTATACTCTCTCAATAATAATAAGTGTGTTGGACACTGTTTTAAGAAAAAATATAAATCAATATAAATATAGGTAAAAAAAGCAATTAATTGCCATGAAATTATAACCATAAAACAAATGATTTCATATAATTATACTTCTGGTTTACAGAAACTAATTTCTTTTTGTAACATTTATTTCTACAAACAATATTTTTTGTAGATGAGCAAAGTTATTAATGCATTTAAAATTAGATTTTAAAAAACACTGTTTCAAGAAAATATGATATAAGTATAGCATTGAATTGCCATAAAATTACAATTTTTAAACAAATGTACATACATAAATGTTCATTAAAAAAATCTGTACATGATCAAAAGGCATCTTGATATTAAACATTAAATAAATGAATTCAAAATTCTTACCAGTTTAGAATCAAATGTCTCCTTATATATTTCTATAAACTTAGTTGTGTCCGTAAGAATTAATTTGAAGAAAGTGATAAGGGCTCTTAAATTTTATACTATTTTATACATGTGGTTTATGACACTTTTCAAACCGTTCAAGTACAGGAACTGACATAAACAATGTATATGACAACTTGTGTGTTAGCGTCTCACGCAATCTAAAGAACAGCTATGTGCTACAATCAATCAAACAACGAGATCCCAACTTATTTGTCTACCTCACTTCATTCAAACATTTCCATTAAAAATTCTAAGTTTATTGCAAATCAATATCCAGCAAAATAAACAAGCAATCAAAACCAAATCAATTCAATACAAATAAAACAATCTCTAGGGTAATATTATCACATTCAGGTAGGCATTACCAATAGTCCTGAAATGTTACCTTTCTTAATTGCTAAATTACTATCAATTAAAGGGAAGATATTTTAATGTATATAGCTAAAGTTCTATGTACTTTATTTAGGCATCATTTATTGATCTCTGCACATGAATTCTTTACCTTACAAAATGTAAATTTGTCTGCTTTAAGTGAATGTATTCAAATGATTTTGATGTCAAACATTTAAAGTTTCATAAAAAAATTATTAACTGTTTACAGAAAATAATTTAATATAAAAGATGTAAACAAAAAACAAATAAACATATGTAAATTTTCAAAAACCCCACTTTATGCATAAAATTTAAAAATAATTATGCATAATTCTTAGTAAATAATGAAAACAAAATTGCACATTACAGCATATGTTAGTGATCTGTATGTCTGACACTATTAACTTGAAAATTTAGCCACATAATGTAGTTTATCCAGCCCTAATTGCCTTACAAACAGATTTCTTTTTTTTTTTCAAACAAATTAGTTAATATCCTGATCAACAATAAAAGCAACATTTTTATTTGTTTTGTATTTTATAAAAAAAATTCCAGCCTTTCTCCCTTTAAAATTCTTAATTCGTGATGGAATTTCATCATATTATCCAGGTATTAAAGATCTCAGGTATTAAAGATCTCACAAGTGAAAATGATGGCAACAGATTGTTTTAAATTTTTTGTTCACGACCATAAATATACATTTATAGTTTCCACTAGAACAGTACATGTAATCTTATTGTCCTAACTCATACAGCAATGAACAATAAAACTGAAATGCAAAGCTTCCTTCAATGAAATATCATTTACAATATGTGGTTCAATAAAAGCCGCCATGGGGTAATAAATTGTTCTCTTCAAAACCATATAATTGTATAAAAAATTTCACTGATAAATCATCAACAATGTTAAGTCAATCAGAAATATTTAATATTACGACATCATCACTTTGTTTAGGCTCATTTATATTTACAATTATAGCCCTGTCAATAAATACTGATTCTATATAAAGGCTTGTCTTTACCTAATTCATCCTTAAAATGTCTTAGGGATTTCAATATCAAAATTCAAAAATTGATCTAGCAACAGTACAGAACCTTGTCAGACTGTATGGATGTTAAGTTAAAAGCTAATCACTTTTTGGTTGCAATTTACTTCAGTTAATTAAGCTACCAACACTACTACAGACAAGAATCTTGACAACAATGATACAGGCTAACCTCATTTCTGGTATTAGGCTGCCATTACCTGTGCAGGGTAGATCAGGTAAATATAGTACATTCACTCACTATATAGTCATCAAGCTTCTTAGAGTATTCAATATTCTCATCATTAATTATTGATAGTCAATATCCATAGCAAGGTATACAACCTAATCATTTGCATTATTTATGTGCAACACAAGATTAAGTACATAGTACTGGCATACTCTTTCATAGCAGTAAATCAATTTGCTCACATTAAAAAATATAGGTTTAAACCGTTTTTATAAGGATATGCCAGATATATATATACATATCAATATAAAATTGCTATGTCATTTACTTTTCTTTAGAAAACTAATGGTAAATAATAATAACAGAAGTAGGAAAAGCACATTACTTGTCATTGAAACATTAACATGGAAGTATCACTGACAATTTAATACTGATTCTGAATAATAAATCACATCATTATCAGGCGCATTCATTTTGCCATGATCTTTCATGTAAGCTCATTATTAACACTCCTTAATTGTTATATATATATAAACAAGCAAACTCATATATGTAATGAAAATGTTAGCACTGAAGTCTAACTGCAAATATCTTTTACAACATTCACTCATAAATAGACGAACAATTACAATGTGTTCTTCTTTGTCATTACCTTAACATTTATGTATAATATAACAGAGCAACAGATAAGCTTTAAAAGTGAATTGGGTATTACTCCATCATTTCCTTTGGAATTGGGTATTGGCTCCATTTAATTGGGTATTCCAAAACTCGATACCCTATGATTTCAAGATCAATTGGGTATTCAATTATGAAGATATGAATTTTATGGTTTCAATATCAATAAAATTAAATTTAGATATCTTAACTGTTTTAAAAAGAAAATAGGATTAACAATTTACTAGAACTTTTCACAATTGTTTTATTTTTTATATAAAATGCTCATGTTAAATTTCATAATATTTTTAACAAGTTCATTTTCTGACTGATTTTTGATTATTTGCGACTGTTTTGTTTCAAATCATTTTCACTTTGTACGACGCCATATTGCTTTTCAAAGCGTCTATTGATACAGCTGGGACCTACTTATTGACGGTCTCCGCAAAATCAACGGTCTCTGCCGGTCTGTAAAGACCGTCAACCTGAGTAGACAAATCGACGGTCTCATGCTTAGTCTGTCTTTGGAGACCGGGGACCGTCGAAGACCGGAGACCGTTGATTAGTTAGCATTGATTCGGGAATATTCGGATATCATGCATATCGATATAATTTGTCCAAAACTACGAGTGTACGACAGATTAATTTTGCGGTGATAAAAATGACAATACGCACGGGTTTTTAAGACAATTGCGTATTTTATTTTTTTTAATGGGTTTTGATACGCATTCTTAAAAAATCAATTGCGTATTTTATAAAATTAATTGCGTAAATACGCAAATACGCACCTTATCTGTTGCTCTGAATATAATATATCCTACAAAACACACTAATTAATCGCCAATACTTACCATTCAAACTTTACAGTACCTATGTCATTTTGTGACATACTCATTGCAAGCCAACACTTACCACTGAAGGTAACAGCACCTAATGATAACATACTCATTGCAAGCCAACACTTACCACTGAAGGTAACAGCACCTAATGATAACATACTAATTGCAGGGCTCCAGATAATTTTTCAGGGCAATGAGTATTTACCTATTGATTTTTTTGGGAATGAGTAAATCTTGAAATCTGAAATTTGGCAGGAGTATTTTTACTCCTTAAAATGTATGTGAAAGAGTTAAACATTTATCATGCTTATTTTGTTTATTGCATTATCATACTTGTAATACAAGATAATGTCAAAGTCATTTCTTTTGCTTTTTGGACTCCCTTGGTTTATAATCTTGCATTTCCAAACTGCATATGTTTTATCTGAACCTGATGCATGTTTCTGTTGCTCATATGTGGCAGCGCTTATTATTTCATAATTAATTATAACCTTCACAATTACTTTTGGGTCGATTTTTTTCGGCTGAAAATATGAGTTTTGACAGCGACATTATAAATTGCATTAATTCCACCACCTTACTATACATACCATAACAACCGATGATAGTCGGAACTACAGGAGGTTACCGTTAGACGTTGCAAAGCATTCATACGAAGTTAATTCCACCACCATACAATACATACGATAACAACCGGTGATAGTCGGAACTACGCAAAAGAAATGTTGCTCAATGCGTAACCTGAATTTTGCGTGCATTTTCATAAGCCTAAATTTTCTTTTGAATGCGTAAACGTGTTATTTCCATGCGTAAATTACGCGTATACGCATCTTATCTGGAGTCCTGTAATTGCAAGCCATTATACTTATCACTGAATGTAACAGCACCTTATGATAACATACTCATTGCAAGCCATTATACTTACCACTGAATGTAACAGCACCCTAATGATAACATACTCATTGCAAGCCATTATACTTACCACTGAATGTAACAGCACCTAATGAAAACATACTCATTGCAAGCCATTATACTTACCACTGAATGTAACAGAACCCTAATGATAACATACTCATTGCAAGCCATTATACTTACCACTGAAGGTAACATCACCTAATGATGACATACTCATTGCAAGCCAACACTTACCACCGAAGGTAACAGCACCTAATGATAACATACTCATTGCAAGCCATTATACTTACCACTGAATGTAACAGCACCCTAATGATAACATACTCATTGCAAGCCAACACTTACCACTGAAGGTAACATCACCTAATGATGACATACTCATTGCAAGCCAACACTTACCACCGAAGGTAACAGCACCTAATGATAACATACTCATTGCAATCCATTATACTTACCACTGAATGTAACAGCACCCTAATGATAACATACTCATTGCAAGCAAACACTTACCACCAAAGGTAACAGCATCTAATGATAACATACTCATTGCAAGTCATTATACTTCAGAGCTACAGATAAGCTTTTGAGTTAATTGGGTATTTACCCCTGGACTTGACAAGCAATTGGGTAACACAGAAACAAAATTGGGTATCATTGAAAAATTTATTGGTTTGCATAGATTTGCATCGGTCAAAATATTGTCCAGGATCTGGGAAACAATATACACAAAGACTGTAAACAAACATTGTCTAAAAAGTTCATTTAACAAATTTTTTACAACATCTGGCTCGGTAAAATAACCAAATATTTTGTTAGACTGCATTGAAATAATTAATTTTTATCAGCCCCGTTTCGCCATTTTGTTGAAGCAGAAAGTAAATAAACCTCAGTCTGGACTGCTATTTAGTTATCTCTCATAAGTATATAAAGCTTTTCCGCGAAAAAATATCTTTAAACCAGTCTACTCAATTGTTCCCGGTTAACAAATGGAAAACGAAAGTACAGAAAGGGAAACAGGCTATTTTCGGATTTGTTTGGCAGTTTTTGCTAGGTGAATTATGGTCCAAGATATTGAAAATACGCTAGAGTATCAAAACAAATTGGGTACTGATATTTTGATTTGCGTTTTTATTACGCAAAGATTTTATTTTATTTGGGTAAATTGGTCAAAATTATTGGGTAATTACGCAGATACGCTGCTTATCTGTAGCACTGAATACTTACCACTGAATGTAATAGCATTTAATGATAACATACTCATTGCAGGCCAACACTTAATTACCATTGAAGGTAACAGCACCTATGTAACACACTAATTGTAACCTTAAGACTTACCTTTCTGTGAATTATTTTAAATGTTACACCTGAAATGCAACATAAGTGTTAACTAGTGTAACATAGACTTACCATTGTAGTTTCCCTGCATCTATGTGTTCCAGCAAACATGTTTGGAGGATCATTTCCTTCCGAGAAAGGACACTGATTGATATCAATACGCTCAAACTCTCCATCTATTCCTACCACAGCTACAAACCTGTATAACATAAAAATTATGCAGTTCTCTAATGATATAGTACTAACTTGAGTTGTTTGAAGAATGATTTGTATAAATAATTGCATGTTAAACAAACATTGTCAACAAGTGCTGTTTGAGTCAGACATGAAATATCTTCTCATACAGGATCTTTAAACATACATGCCATAACGTCCCGGATGCCCGGGATTGTCCCGGAAATCGGATGTCTGTCCCAGAGATGTCCCGGGCATCGATTTGATCCCGGAAAAAAAATCATGATAATTTGCAAAATTTTCATAAATTTTCTTAAATCAAATCTCGCACATTTCACCTCTAGATCGTAAAACATAATCTGACCTGGTACACATAATACACAGGAACGTTGACACTTACAATTTTACAATATACAGCCCCCCAATTATCGACTGTCGATTCCCCTCGGCAATAGATTCTTCATGCATCGGCAATTAACATTCTCTGTTGAATTCGGCAGCGTTTAATGGTCGGGTTAATTAATTGTTTACGGTCCTTAACAATTATCGTTAATCCCCGATAATCATTAATTTTTAGATCAATCGCTAAATTGCCGAAAGTCTAATTATTACAAACAATGTAAATATATCTATCAAATAAAAAAATTAAAGGTGTCAAATAAATCACCTTGCTGTGTTTGTTTTTATGACTGGAAGAATTGCATTACGTGACATGTAGTAATTATCATGACTTTAAGATATAACGGGTGAACAACATGGCCGCGCCCATTCACCGGGTTTATAACTTACAACTTACTTGCTTTTAGGGAATAATGAATTAAATAAAGAAATACTTTTAAAATGATAAATATGTCGACCTAAAAGACAACTTATAAAACTAGTAAGTTAACTGTTTATCATTAAAATTCAGGAGAAAGTCGTCCTAATTTAATAACGTTATACGATTGACACCCCCCCCCCCCCCCCCCCCCCCCCCACTTTTCCACAACTGCCTACACATCCATTATTGCCGCGATGAAAAGTGTCCCGGAAAGCTGTCCAAAAATTATGGCATGTATGCTTTTAATAAGACAAGTTTTACAGTACATAAGGTCCAAATTTCTGTATAAGTATTCAATATAGAGTAAAAATAAAGAATTTGTAGATGGAAAAGGTTGATTCTTTACATAAAGGACATTTTGAAACTTTCCTTGTTTCTAGCAATATCTGGCATATATTATTTCAATTCCAATAATGGCTTTTGAAAAAAAACTTCTTCACTTTAAAGGGACTCCACTGAGGTTTAAAAGCCTAAAAACATAACATTTGAATTTCTTACTTTAAACAGAAATTTATGCAAAGATTATGAGTTAAGAAATATACTTTGAAATAAATTTAAAATCGTATTTTTATGCCCTTTTTCGCCCGATTTGAGTGAAAAGCGTTTAAACGCTTTTCAATTTTGGTCATTTTTTTACAATTTGTATAATTATTCTGGAAAAACGAAGTGCACGATTGATCTGAAATTTTGCACAAAGATTAGTGGTCTGAACCTTCATTAAATGGTACATTTATCTGGAAAAAATATTTTCAGTCCCATCATGTCAAAAAACCTCAGAGCCCCTTTAATATTGATGTAGAATCTATTTCAACATACTATTTAGGTAAAACACTAAGAGAGTTTATACAAAGTTGGATATGTCCTTAAAGGGACTCCACTGAGGTTTTTTGACATGACGGGACTGGAAATAACTTTTTGAGATTATTACTCCATTTGATGTAGATCTATACTTATAACTTATGTGCAAAATTTCAGATCATTAGCTCACTCCGTTTTTCCAGAATAATTATTATAATAGTGAAAAATGACCCAAAATTGAAAAGCGTTTAAACGCTTTTCACTTAAATTGGGCTGAGAATAGCACAAATATATGATTTTCAATGTATTTCTTGTGTATTTCCTAGTTATATCTTATTTATATTTCTGTTAAAATTGCTCATGTTTATCTATGTGAAAATTAAGATTTTATGTTTTAGGCTTATAAACCTCAGTGGAGTTCCTTTAATTAAATGGCTTTTTAGAAACCTAATCATTATGAATGATTTTTTAATATGCAATAAAATGATTCTATCACTGCAGTGTATTTTATAACAATGTGTATAAGTCAATGTTTAAATATCGTACATAACGAAAACTTTTATCTTGCAGAAATAAAACATGGAGCATAGTTTCTGACAAACATTTGAATTTAAGACATTATTCTAACTATAATAAGCTTTTTTTATTCACTATCAATTCACTTACATTAAAATATTTTACTTTTTGTGGATTTCTAGAATTATAACAACCAAAAAAAATCTTGTAACAGAATAAAATGTTTCACATTTGATGGGATTTTAATTAGCAAATTTAGCTTGCATTGTATATTCAATCACATATTTTAATATTAATTTATAATAGCGATTATGGCAGCTTCAATTTATTAATTTCAAGTTATTTTATTAATGTTACTCTGCAGTTTTACACCTGGCATTTTAGTTTAACAACTTTATAAAGTATTACTGCAGTTTTTCTTTTCTTGATATATCAGAACAAGTCATGTCTCAGCCAGATATTGACATGTATAAACCATTAAATGACTAATTATTATAAACAGGACATTTACAAAAACAAAACATTAAAGTGATAAAAACATTCTGTTCACAGTAGTGCACCTACTTTCCAACAAACAAACATTTATATCTAAATAATCTATAATCGTTCTAGACATGGCATACATGTTTAACACACCTAATAATGTAACATTTATATAACTGAACTTGGCACTCACTTAAGGCCACATAATATTACTGAATTCTGGTTTGTAACATTTAAAATCAAAACAGTACCAGTAAGTCAAAGTGGTATTGAGATTACTAATATTTTATAAATGAAACAACTGTCTAGATATACATGTATATATGATTGTATAAGAAATGTATTTTAAATCGAGTTACAATGATTTATTCAATTATATATTCAATATTTATTTATTTTGTCACTGTTAATCTGAGAATTATAAAATATCGCTGGAAGTTTTAAACATACAGATCTTAAATAACCATTACCTAGGTCTTCTAAGATGGATCCATGGTGAGTATCTCGGCATGTAGTCAACCACAGGAGCAGACATGGTTGTAATCCAGCGATTTGATCGTCCACAATCAAAGTATGGTTTTGTGAAAAGCACAGGTAACGTAATATCAGTGTCAGTCTGACCTGGTTGTGGCGGCCCAAAAAATGGAATTCCTTCAAAGTCGTCTCTTGTAAACTTGCCTGTCTGATTGGAAAATTTTATTCCAACCGAGTATGTGAATTTACGTAAAGAGTCTTTGTAGCCACGACTATCTGGCCACCAGAAAAGTGGCTTTTCTTGTCGCGCATCTGTTGGGTCATACTCATATCGAGTATAAGGGGCGTATTTGTAGGATTCATCTGTGTAGTTTGTGACTCTACCTGCTGCGTAGTCTTCAACATCAATTGTTCTATTTGTAGGTTCACGTAACCAATTTGTTGGTTCATTATAATCATCAGCTCTCCATGCTCTTGGACCAAATAAAGATAGAGTAGTGTTAAAATCAACTGTTGTATACCAATTTGGGTAAGTACAATTATTGTCAAAAAGTAATGATGAGCCGTTGACCCAACCCGGAGATGCAGAGACATCGGCAGCAGCCGACATATACAGGTACATCAAACCTGGCTGGTGTTCAAAGTCCTCTGATGTGTTCATTCTTTGATAAATAAAACTGTAATAGAAGGCTCGATTGAACGCCAAATTATGCATGTGTAGAAGCATAGATCTATTGGCAAAATATACATTACTGAGCAGTTTGTTATATACAGGTACGTGTGACACCGACTCCTTGGGTAACTCTAGCTCTGACCGTGGTTTTGAGCGGCAGTTTTCTGTTGTAACTGCAGTCATTCTGTCCATTATTTCATCAAATTTATCTTTTTTCATCCAGGAAAAGGGTCCAGCACCCACTATTGTTAGAGCTAATAAGCCCCAAAACAAAACTGTTAACGTTTTCCTTAACGTATCCATGACTTACACTTCTGTGTACCTGTAATTAAAACAATTATATCATTTCCAAAGTAGGTATGTAACCGCCAAAACACAATAATTTCCAGTTTCGTTTCTTATGCTGTCTTCAAAATGGCGGACTAAATGTGTTCAATTATTCAAATCATGTTGAACGCTTCCGTGGGGACATTTAAGGTAAAAATACCTGTAACAGGTGACAAAAATTAAATGTTTTAATTAATTATCCGACATGACAGTACCGCAAGTCAGTCGAACAATCATTGTGCGTTAAAACTAAAATGCACTATAAACTTTGTAATTTATTTCAATAATTATATGCACAATGCGAAATATACCTGTACCCCGTCGGGTGCCCTTTATTATGGATGCGGCATCGATTGATCTTTCAGGTGAGAATGGTGTTCTGTTGTCAGATAAGATTATAGCTTAAACATTTGGTCATATAACAAAATAAGACAATTTTTCTGTTGATTTCACTTCTTTTTTAAATTAAAAACCGTTTCTTCACCCAGGAAGCGTGACTCAATTGTGTAAACGTATTTGTCACCAGATGGCGTACCTGCGGTATTAATCAGCGCGTGGACAGGTGTAAACAAACTTACTTGGTTAAGTCCCTTCGGTGTATTGCAGTTGCTTCCCTTTCACTATACCAAACTCCTCGCAGTGGTTACTTCCCCTATTCAGTTTCGGCAATAGATGCATGACTTACGGAAAGGGCCGAAAAGTTGCGACTTTAAAGCTGCATGCCTCCAGACATGCATAAGAAAGAAAAACTTGAAAAAAACTGTACTAATATTTAAAGGAAATGTGAAAAGATTCAAGATTCAAGTATTATTTACATGCTATTTGCAATTATTGACTGATTTTACAATATTTATCTCCATATTTCTACTGTGTTAGTAACGCAGTAAGGCCTATTTTTGCACCTTTTAAACAATTTTTGATAATTATCGTGCATTGTAAGCTCCGTTTGCAATTTGTAAATTAATATCTTTGTTTACTTTACAATATTTTACTTTAAAATACATTTTAAATTTTTTCATGAAAATTAGCATGGATTTGGAGGCATACTATTGCATGTTTTCGTGCATTAACATGCATCTGCTTTTTAAATCCCTTTAAGGGCAGACTCGGGCTTGAAATGAGTCTTCATGCTTCTGTACAAAAGGGGCATTAAAAATCTTATAGTAATCGAAATGAACAGATCTATTTAGTTACATTTAGACCATTTGACCTCGCATACAAGCATCATAACATCTTCAATTAAGACTTGTTAAAGATATTTTAAATCAAATTGAACAAAATCAAATTGAACTATGCAAAATAACATTTAGTGTTCTATGTTTTGTTACAAAACTATTTCATACTAATATTAATGTGTCCCAAAATGCACTTCTTTGGCCATAAATACCGGACGCGTCCTTAAACTGCCTCCTCATGTTGTTCTTTTTAAACAAAGTATATGGCGTTTGATTTGCATATGCCATCATAGACGATAGATATATAAATTTATTCTAAGTATTCAATACCAATACCGAAACAAGCATATTTAAAGCTGCATGCCTCCAGATGAACAAAAATATTTCAAGAAAATCGAACTTGAGAATAAAGTACTGAGATTAAAGAAAAGTAAAAAGGTTCAAGATAAAAGTATAGTAATTTCCATATCATGTGCGATTTATGACCGATTTTGCAATATTTTTTACCATATTTCTACTGCGTTACTAACACAGTAAGGTCTGTTTATGCATATTTCGATATCTTTTGGTACATATAATTTGTATGGGTTGTAAGTGCTTTTTGCAATGTGGACTCTATTTTCTTTGTTCATTTATAATACATGTATTTTACTCTTTAATAGATTTTCAAAAATATCATGAAAATTAGAATGAATCTGGAGGCATGCTGCTTTTAAATCACAGTAACAAATAAGCCTTACATGTCCAAATATACCCACAATTTGGATTTTTATGCAGTTTTCCTCGAAATATTCTTTCCGTCATAGGATTTTGTGTTTCTAAAACATGCCACTAACAACTCAAAATACAAAGTTTTTTTCGAAATCTTACCACCGAACGATGCTTAACATCCAGTAAACCCTTAATGAAATGTAATGATTTTTGGCTCAGAACGAAGGAACTGGCAGTCAAAATTCGATTCGAGCTCCATATGCGCTGAAGAGATCCATAGATGCGTAATGTAGATAACATAAACAATCAATATATGGATACATTCCATAAAACAATCTTTTTTTGTGAATCATTCTGTAATGAAAACTGATATTCGAAATAGAGTTGAGAAAACAAGTTGAGTTTGAATAACACCATCCATAAAAAAGGGATAAAAGACATTCAGCATACTAAAGATATTGATTATAGCTATTGTGGGAATTCCATGTTTATTTTATACATGTATGAAATTCTCTATTCGTCACTAATGCCAGTGTAACATTAGATTTTGATCCCGTTGAAAAATGACCCACAAGTCAATTTTCAATGAATCATTGATCAATTATCAGCATTGAAAATTTAACCCTACCTGTTAAATTATGACCCATCCACACTTTAAAATCGACCCCTTTGGAAACTGATCAACTATTTACAAGCAATATTTTGACATTGAAAACTTAACGTAATAAGCCTATGGCCAAACAGATGAAACATAAATATTTCTGTTGTCTTTTTTAGAATTTAAAGATTTTAAATGATAAACTTTATAAATGTGAACATACTTTTGCAAATTCTCCGTATATAGAAATTAAAGAGTGTCTTCTTGGCATTTGGAATGCCCATGTAAATAAACATGTTTGTTTAAAATTCAAACTGTATCGTAAATATAGATGAAACAAGGTTATAGTAAAAACCCACAGTTCAGGTCCTCAATATAATTGCATATATGAACGGCAATCCTAATATACTTCACGCCCCGAATTCTCCCGATACAATCGTCAATATGTATCAAATAGTTTGTGACCACAAGATAACATATGTCATTGAATTTATTTCTTTTCTTTTTTTTTCTTTTTTTTATCTAATAAGAATTATAGTTTTTTTTCTATGGAGAATATACTTTAATTAATGAAACTAAAGAGGACTTTGAGTGGATCTTTTCATAATTGAATTTTAGTTAAAATGATATTATATATCTCGGAAGAGTTGTCAGTTTGAGCATCTGGAATTGGCATTGTGTGGTCATTTCTAAGAAGTGGTGAGAGTTTCTGATTAGGCCAAGTGTTTCTTTATCAAATCGACGACATCAAACGTTGAACTTTAATGACTGAGCAGATTTCAACGTCTTTTCGATGAAAATTTAATGTTGAATTGTTGGAATGTTCATTTCTCAAAGTTAAGAATTGACCCTAGGTCATTTTTCAACGTTTAGAATTGACCCATGGGGAAATTTTCAACGGGGTCAAAATTGAACGTTTCACCGGCTGAGAGTAATAACATGAAGTTTGTGGAAAGAAATATAAACGCACACGTCAGTTGTTAAATTAAAATGATTGGGCGGGGGATTAGAAATATCTTCGTCCGTCCGTGGATAGATCATATTTAGGATTGCAGTCAGTGTACAAGAATGATAACTCTACCCTGCATAACTTTTTCAGTTATTGCCCTTTTTATTTTTCAAACTTAATTTTTGTCCAGAGAATAACTCAAAAAGCCTTTGGGATAATAACATGAAACTTGATAGTGGATAAATCTCACTCAGGAGGTGTTGATAACTCTACCCTTCATAATTTTTTAGTTATTGCCCTTCGTTATTTTTCATACTTAATTTTTCACCTGAGTGAAGCATAAATCAAAAAGCTTTGAGATGTCATTATGAAACTTCATAGGTGGATAGATCTTATTGAGGAGGAATGCTATGGGCAAGAGTGATAACTCTTCTCTTTCTAATATTTAAGGTTATTGTCCTTTGTTATTTTTCATACTTTTTGTCCGGAGTATATCTCATAAAGCCTTTGAGAGATCAACATGAAACTCCATAGATGGATAGATATCATTAAGGAGAGATGCAGCACATAAGAATGATAACTCTACACTGCATAATTTTTCATTTATTGCCCTTTGTTATACATGTATTATATCTTTATATGCTTAATTTTTATCCAGAGCATAACTGGAAAAGCTTTTCAGATATCAGTATGAAACTTCATAGATGGATGATCTCATTGATGAGGAGTGCAGCACATAAGAATAATAACTCTACTCTGCATAATTTTTCAGTTATTACCCTTTGTAATTTTTCATGCTTAATTTTTGTCCAGAGCATAACCTAAGAAGCTTAACTTGAAATTTCATAGATAGATCATATTGAGAAGGAGTGCAGTGCACAAGAATGATAACTCTACCGTGCATAATTCTTCAGTTATTGCCCTTTGTTATTTTTCAAACTTATTTTTTACCCAGAGCATAACTCAAAAAGCCTTTGAGATATCAACATGAAACTTGATAGGTGGATAGATCTCACTCAGGAGGTGTGCAGTGCACAAGAATGATAAATCTTCCCTTTATAATTTCAGTTAATGTTCACAAGAATGATAACTCTACCCTGCATAATTCTTCAGTTATTTCCCTTTGTTATTTTTCAAACTTAATTTTTGTCCAGACAATAACTCAAAAAGCCTTTGAGATATCAACATGAAACTTGATAGGTGGATAGATCTCACTCAGGAGATGTGCGATTGATAAATCTACCCTTCATAATTTTTGAGTTATTGCCCTTTGTTATTTTTCATACTTAATTTTTCACCTAAGTGAAGCATAACTAAAAAATCTTTGAGATGTCAACATAAAACTTCATAGGTGGATAGATCTTATTGAGGAGGAATGTTATGCGCAAGAATGATAACTCTTCTCTTTCTAATATTTGAGTTATTGCCCTTTGTTATTTTTCATACTTTTTGTCCGGAGCTTATCTCAAAAAGTGTTAGAGGTATTTACTATATAATGTATTCATTTGAAACTCAAAATATAACTTATTCTCCGTCCGTCCGTCTGCCTGTCTGTCCGGCCGTCCACCGGTTCGTCCATCCTTCCGTCAGACATTTTGTCCGGAGTATATCTCAAAAACTATTTGAGATATCAACTTGAAACTTCATGGGTGGATAGATCATATTGAGGAAGAGTGCAGTGCTTAAGAATGATAACTCTACCGTGCATAATTCATCAGTTATTACCCTTTGTTATTTTTCAAACTAAATTTTTGTCCATAGCATAACTCAAAAAGCCTTTGAGATATCAACATGAAGCTTCATAGGTGGATATATCTCACTCAGGAGGTGTACAGTGCACAAGAGTGATAACCCTACCCCTCTTAAATTTTTAGTAATTGCCCTTTGTTATTTTTCATACTTTATTTATCAAACTTAGTGGAGCATGACTCAAAAAGTCTTTGAGATGTCAACATGAAACTTCATAGGTGAATTTATCTTAATGAAGAGGCATGCTATGCGCAAGAATGATAACTTTTCCCTTTATAATTTTTGAGTTATTGACCTTTGTTATTTTTCATACTTTTTGTCCGGAGCTTATCTTAAAAAGTGTTAGAGGTATCATCTTGAAACTTCATAGGTGGATAGATCTCGATCATTGAGGAGGAGTGCAGCACACAAGAATGATAACCTACCCTGCATAATTTATCAGTTATTGCCCTACGTTATTTTCAGCCATCATTATTCACATAGGTTTCAAATTTGTAATCACTTCAGCCATCAGTTTTCATTACCAAAATACCTCTTTAAATTGAATTATTCTGCTCTACTACATATACATTCTTCCAATGAGCAAACACATTCGGCGGGGTGGACGTGTTAACATGGCTCTTGTTTCAAATTAATCCACATATAAATGCAAGCACGGAGCGTTGCAGCCATAGTGCAGTTTTGTTTTGTAAAATGATAAGTGAATATCATACAAGAAACGGAAACATATTCAGCTCACATATCTCGATATAAATCACTACAAATAAAAGTGACCGCCTCCGTGGTCGAAGGGTTAGAGTCGATGACTTCTAATTCAGTTACCTCTCTGGCGTGGATTCGATCCTCGGGAAATGCTTTGGTAGTTTTGTACAGAGGAAGGTAGTATAGTACTGGTGTAACTCTCCAGGAACGATGTTCAGGAAACTACCCGCCTATATGACTGAAATACTGCTGGGAAAAGGCGTAAAATGAAACAAACAAACACACAAACAAACAAATAAAAGTATATCTTACCAATACGTTAATGTGTAAGAGTTGGTAATATATTTTAGGGTATATTGATAACTAATTTATAATTTGATTGAAATGTTACACTTTCCTCTTCGTTTTTTCTGTTAGTACTGTGACTTGATAACCATGAAAATGTCGGAAATCGCGTGCAAAAAGTACCCTTTAAAATTGAATTGAAATTAAAAATATTATATCCAAATCGGGTATTTTTATTTCTTAATATTCCTGGAGCATTTACAAAAATGTTTGTTTTGTGTGCTTCAAATTCATTGAATTTATCATTGAATATGCCGAAGAAGCACTTGATTCGATATGGGACTGCACAAGCCCTCAGATTAGATGTTTGCTTGTCAAAGCCAGCGCCAAGTTGCATAGGCCATAGTGTCATTCAGCGGTTAAATAACGGACAAGGTACCTGGATACCGCAGCTGTTTCTAGACGACCCGGAAGTGGTCGGTTGAGGGCTAAATCTGCCCGAAACGACCGTGCAATGGTGATAACGGCGAAACAAAAAAAAAGATTTGATTCTGCAGTTACTTTGAATAGGAATTTTGCAAGGGCGACACATAAGAATGTTTCTGTTTAAACGTATTAACACAGGGTACACGAGGATAATTTGCTCGTTCGAAGGCCAGCTGTACATGTACCACCCACGCCAAGACATCGAGTAAACCGGTTGGTGTCGGCATTGGATCACCAGAATTAGAGGCTCTGTCAATTTAGACACAATTTGTTCACTAATGAATCTAAATTATGTTTGGACTTCGATGATGGCCGGCAATGCGTCTGGCGACAACGTAACATTATGCACGTTTTAAATAGAGACTTGTATGGTCGTACATGGCCAATGGGAAGCGGGTAATTTATGGTTTGGACTGGAATCTCTTACAATGGACGCACGGGCCTACATGTGTTTATGAATGGCTTAGTTTCCCAAGTTTCGGTCAGCGTTATAGAAATGAGATACTCGTTTCTTACGCTGGTGCTGTAGGTCAGGAATTCACGGACGATATGCGTCTTTCTAGATGCACAAGGAATCGAGCGGCGAATGAATTGGCCAGCATGATCAATCATCGGGAACAGAGGTTTGATGACGATAAACTGATGGCCAATGCTTGACAGGGGCAAGATGTTGTCTTATATCGATCGGGCATCATATACATACATTTACAAACTAAATGTAATAAGTGTTTAGTGTTGCAAGGGACCTAGTGTTTTGAAAAAAAGGACAGTACAAGTTCAATTATTTAATTATATGACGCTTAAATTTTGATACCTTTATTTTGCAAATATAAATTATGCACAACTAAAGTTAAGTCGACTAATGTCTTAATGTAAAAATGATTTGTCAGATGCATATTTGTCGAAATGTTGCATACTTATATATACATGCATATGAATGTCATAAAAACTTGCTTACTCATGCACATTCAACTTTGAAACAAAAGGCCTAGCATAAACATAGGAATGGTCATTTTCAACAACGGGAATTAAAATGTTTTGGAAGTGTAAACAATACAAACTAGTTGACACTACTAACAATACAAAATATTTGTTCTTTAAATGATCGCTGAAAACAAAATTATATATTCATGATTTTGAAGTATATCTGATTTCAAGATTATGTTTCACCGAATATATCGGTCAATGAACGCGCGCGTGTACCGTGAATAAAACAAGTTTTGATTGCGGTTTTACTTAAACAAGCCTTATAATTCCATTGAAATATTTTATAAATCGATGACGTTAAATTCTTTTATTCATTTTGTCAGACAGACATTCCTTATATGAATTACAAAATAATCAAATGTTTTTTCAATGCATGCACCATGATTCGACTTAACCTTCATGTGTCTATTTGCCGCATTTTCTGTTTTTCCCTAGTGTTATTATGTAATTATATTTTTTACAAAGTAATTCATAGTGGTTAAATCGACCTTGTATTTATCAATAAATAAAAGCACGTAAAAACACGCTTAAATACAAGCAAGGCCAATTGTGTCCGTCATCCATACAAGAAGAACAGGAAGAAACGCTGTGCATGTTTAAGTCGTCTGCCTTACTATATATAGATATGAAAAGAATGTCACAAAGACCAGGCTGAACATTCGTATATATCGGTTGTTTTTGTTTAAACCTATTAATTATTTAATCTCGATTATACATATAGATCTATATCATATATCAGAATATCGAGTCCAACATCGACTATTTTTATCAAGGATCTACCGTTCCTTTTAAATGTCATTGTCTTTAAAGTCTATCATATCATACTTGTTGATCGGAAGGTATTTGCTCGAAGGAACGGTGGAATTGGACCGTGTGTAACGCTGATATAATATGATATTTACTGGATTAACGACTTGCGATCGGAATACCTCGAAAACCACGCCTTAATCTTTGGATTAACAGTTTAAGTAGTGTGGTCATTTGCAGGACATTTGGCCGATTGTTTCGAAACTGTGTCAAGTGTAGGAGAAAAATAAATTATTTACAATATTGCACTACATGTGCTTTGTATAAAAGACCACTGGAATAGTTTTTACACGGATTGCAATGGCGCAAATGGCGTTAGTTCTTTTACTTGCAGTTATATTTCAAGGTTTGCATTTTGTTGTTTTAAATCTATGTGTAAGATTGTAAAAGTTAAACATCTTTTTTAATAAAGGAATTTCTAAAACTAATATTGATTTGAATTTCAATTATAGGTACAGTCATGTATTCATTATTTGTTTGAAATAGCATATTCTTAACAAGTCATAGTATTTATTTGACAAAACTTTTTTTCCGTCCTGCTTGGTTTGTTTGAGAGAAAAACTTCGGTATATACATTTGTATTGATGTTTACACTGGATGTGGTATATTGTATTGCTTATTGAACAGTTCATTTTGTACTGTCTAGTTTTTAATTGTTTAAGTACTGCGACGATTTTTTTCAATATTAAAGGCACATTATGCCCCAGACATGCTATTATTTTTATTTCTCAAACTGTATATTTTTGGTATTTTGTTACAGTTTCATAAGAAATACTCATTTGCCATAACCATGAATTATCTTTGCTCCTTTTGATTTCTTGGCTATTTTTAATTTTAGTGAATGAGTATTTTGTATGAAAGTCAAAATACTATTGACACATTACTGTACGATCCGATGTTCAACATCTAAAATGCTCTAAATTCATTATCAAAACATTATTAAACGTATATTGAACATTTCTAAAGAATTTAATAAATATGGATATCTGAGCCATAATATGACTTTAAAAGACGTTTCCCCAAGTTCCCAACATAACGGTGATTTATTATTTTCTCTGGCTTCATTTAATAGTAGTAAAAATCACAATCAATAATTGAATAGGTTCTTTCTCGTGGATTGATCTGTATAACAATGTACAGTCTAACCCTAATGTTGAAAATTCTAAAAAAAAATCAATATTGAGTAAAAAAAGTAAATAGGTAATATAATTGCCAGATTTGAGTATTGAAATAATTTAAGTGCAGTTTTATCTTGTATGTTAATTAAACCGTCATCATCTTAGTTGTTTTCTGCGAACGGTGTGTTATATACTTGCGACATTATTATTGTCATGTATAGACGAACTTTAAAGTGAATTGGTCTCTTGTTGAATGTATGCAATTCAATAAATAATTACGTTTATAGTATTAAGTATAAGTAAGAACAAAAGCACGAAATAATTATATGCGGATGTTGTTTGCAAGTGTGAGATATACATTGTCCAAGTTACATATAAAACAAATAATAAAATGTTCTAGAGCAAAATACATCATAATTTTATTCATAATTAAGCACAAAGACTTGATATGATACGTATTAAAAATGCCCGTTGTATCATGATATACGAAAACTATGACGATTTTACATGTTGACAGCCGCGATCTATAAATAAATTATTGGTGACAAAATTACCTGTTAGTGGGCCATTATGAAATGAATGAAATGAATATTTAATGAAGAATATTGTCAGCAGACGACATTTCTGCCCAGGAATCAATCACGCTCCATTTATTGTGACCAGTGGAAAGGGTATACTGGGATTTTCAAACTGTACATAAAACAAGGGCTACTTGAATGTATTGAAAGTTTAAAACTCCATTATCCAGCACATGTTCATCAGTGCATTTAACGAATAATTATAGTTATTTTTTCATTTACGAATTTCAATACGATTATTGACGTTTCATAAGAGTAAGCAGAAATATGGTATGAAAAGAAAATAAAGTCATTATGTTCTTCTTCAGATTACAGCTTAGATTGTGTAAAAAAAACAGGCCTGCTTAATTTTTTCTTGTTAAGTAAATATTGAAACATTATATACAATATTATTTCATAAATTATTATGAAATTTGCATTTACATTTACTATGTACAGTTATGTTATTATTAAAGGGCTTTCGCATTGGTTTATTTTGCGAGGACATTTGTTTGTTTGTTTGTTTCATTTTACGCCTTTTTCCAACATAGGCACGAGGACATTTGTACTGATGACGAAGTTCTTTTCATGTTTATAGGGAAAGTTTAATAAACGAATAGGCCATAATAACTATTTCTTTACCTTTTATCAACTTAAGGGATATCAATGTAAATTTTACAGCTAGTCAGTAAACAGTAAAGCGCCTGGTTAGACTGACTGGTCTGGCTCTATTCATGGCAAAAACTACTTCCGGTTTCGGCCATGTAATGGTTCTCTATATACATGTATATTACAGTTTGTATGGTATGTAAATGTCAGAACAATGGACCAAATACAACATGTAAACAAGGAGCACCGAATCCTAGTGAAGGTAATCCTTTCTCCTGAAAATTAAATCATTGGTTTAGCTATTTTAGGACATTTATACCTTATTTCATAACAATATCAAAACTGTTGGCACGTGCTAGAACACTATTATATTTGTACATGTAAAAACTTACATAGGTTCATCATTCTAAATGTTTTGTTTGAAGGTACTCCACTGAGGTTTTTTGATATGATGGGATTGAATTTTTTTCCATATAAATGTACCATTTGATGTAGGTTTAGACCTCTAATCTTTGTGCAAAATTTCAGATCATTCGCGCACTCCGTTTTACCAGAATATCTAGTTGCATTGTAAATAAATGACCCAAAATGAAAAGCGTTTAAACGCTTTTCACTCAAATCGGACTAAGAAAAGCATATAAACACGATTTTTAATTATTTCAAAGTATATTTCTTAACTTTCTTTGCATAATTATATTTCTGTCTAAAGTGCCCCAGCTCATTTATGTAAGAAATTCAAATGTTATGTTTTTGGGCTTTTAAACCTCAGTGGAGTCCCTTAAAGATATTAAAACACATAAACAAAAATAAATAAATAAATACATTCATTTTTCATTATTCTATTCTATTATTAAGTTGCACAGATGTGTTACAACTCTTTCGCTAGCAGCTCAGGCTTCGTTTTGCTCGATGTGTCGTCTGCACGTTTTGCAATGCCGCCAGATGGCGCGTCCTCCTGCAAGTGTACCTTATACATAGAAGAGCAAGACAACTCTCAAAGCACCAGGTACATGCTTTTATTTAATGTCATTTTTATCTCTCTGTTTATATAACAAGAACTTAAAGACAATATTTTTAAGTCGATTCAGCTAAAGTTATTTTCAAATTGAAGTGAATAGTATTTCTTTACCTTAAAAGTTAGTTAATTAAGATATAATAAAGTATATTGTATGAAACTATGTCTTCTTTTCTAGCTTAGTAATTAGCGCATATACACCTTCGAATATGACGGATTGTGGTACACAAATCAACATTAATACTACCAGAAGAAAAAACAACATATCTTGTTCCGATATCAGTACAACGTTTCAAGGAAACCAAGCTGTTTTTACGTTATCACGTGACCTCACGCCACCAGAGAACGGCTATTTATATGATTACTGTTGGGTTATTTATCCTACGGGTATATATGAGTATAAATAATTCTTCTCTACCTCATTTCAAGATGTTCTGCAGATTAATTTAATTGAAAGTCGTAATAAAAATATGCACATAGAGTAACGATTAAGTTGTAACTAACTCAGACTGTTTCCCTTCTCAAAAAAATAAAAAATAAACATGTACATGTACATGTATATTATGATTAATATTTGTATATAATTTCTGTCTTGAAAAATGATATTTATTATTGATGCTTCACATTTAGTTTACACGTATAAGTTTGATTCAAATTTAACAATTAAACAATTTTTAAATCACATTTATTTTAATGGCACTTTTCTAAAATTAATGAACACTCGTGAATGTGTACATGTAATGTCTTTTTTGTGTTTCATGGTTACAGGTAACTCAAACAATGTAACGTTATCGTGTGAAGCTATAAAAACTACACAAACCACTAGCCCCGGTCCATCAACTAATACAACAACTCAGCATACAACACAATCAACCACTCAATCATCAGGGCAAACAACGACTCGCCCGTCAACTACACAAACAGTTACACAAACATTGCCAGTACAAACAGAAGCAACAACACAGAACATATCTTCCTCACAATCTACAACAACTGAACAACAAACTACCAGTAAACCAACAGATACGACATCTACTACACAAATTGCGACAGCTAACACAACATTGTGCACCCCAAAGACGACTGAGTCCACGATCGAGACCACGACTCAGACAGGCACACACTCATCCACCGATACCACAACACAAGTAAGTAAAACAACTTTAACGCAGCCATCAACGCAGAACGATACACAAACACCAAAAGATTCTACCACACAAGTAACATCGGGCACCACGACGGCAACAACTCGCGAGGAAACATCGGGTAACACAACAAAGCAAACAACACAGAAGGAAACATCGGCTACCACTACGCTATCTACCACAGAACAGGAAACATCGATAAGTACTGTATCTACTACTGAAAAGGATGCATCGGGAACTACGACATCAACCACAAAGAATGATACATCGGGAAATTCGATTTCTACTACAGAAATGAAAACGCCTGGAACTTCGACATCTCCTACGGAAAAAGAAACATCGAGAACTACGACATCCACCACTAGAAACAGTACATCGGGAACTACGACATCTTCTACGGGAAAGGAAACATCGGGAATGACGACATCTACTACAGAAAAGGAAACATCGGGAACTACGACATCTACAACGGAGAAGGAAACATCGGGAACTACGACACCTGCAACTGAAAAGGAAACATCGGGAACTACGACACCTACAACTGAAAAGGAAACATCGGGAACTACCACATCTTCAACAGAGAAAGAGACGTCGGGAACTACGACATCTTCCACAGTAAACGTAACATCGGGAACTACGACACCTACAACTGAAAAGGAAACATCGGGAACTACTGCATCTACTACTGAAAAGGAAACATCCGGAACTACGACATCTACAACGGAGAAAGAATCATCGGGAACTACGACATCTTCCACAGCAAACGTTACATCGGGAACTACGACACCTACAACTGAAAAGGAAACATCTGGAACTACGACATCTACTACTGAAAAGGAAACATCGAGAACTACGACATCTAAAACGGAGAAAGAAACATCGGGAACTACGACATCTTCCACAGCAAACGTTACATCGGGAACTACGACACCTACCACTGAAAAGGAAACATCGGGAACTACGACATCTACTACTGAAAAAGAAACTTCCGGAACTACGACCTCTACTACTGAAAAGGAAACATCGGGAACTACGACATCAACTACTGAAAAGGAATCATCGGGAACTACGACACCTACAACTGAAAAGGAAACATCCGGAACTACGACATCTACAACGGAGAAAGAAACATCGGGAACTACGACACCTACCACTGAAAAGGAAACATCGGGAACTACGACATCAACTACTGAAAAGGAAACATCGGGAACTACGACACCTACAACTGAAAAGGAAACATCCGGAACTACGACATCTACAACGGAGAAAGAAACATCGGGAACTACGACACCTACAACTGAAAAGGAAACTTCCGGAACTACGACATCAACTACTGAAAAGGAAACATCGGAAACTACGACACCTTCAACTGAAAAAGAAACATCGGGAACTACGACATCTACTTCGGCGAAAGAAACATCGGGTACCACGACAGAACCAACCCAAGGCTCGACAGAAGATTCCACTGGGGATAAGCAGCAAAAGGGAACCAAAACAACTTTCCCATGTAAGTACTGATTATTTAGTTTTATCACATACCCGTTACACTATAGGCACGTCAATGAAAAACTATTCTTGAGGCACGCATGTAATAAGTTTATTCAACCTGTTCAATAAATTCAGTATTGAACCTACTCTCATGTAATATCCTCTATATCTTGAATAGTCAGCGTGCTGGGAAAAAATGCTAGTATATACTCTACGCTATCGTTTTTATCCTGCAATCTGTCACAGACACTTGGGGTTTGGAGCTCAAAACGCCTTTAAAATCCAAATAAAATGCATATTTGTCAATCCCAGCACATGTACTGATCACATATATAAAAAAAAACTTAATATAAGCCGTTTTGAAAAAAAATCATATTTCAACATCTATAATAATTATAGATGTTGAAATATGAATTTTTTTCAAAACGGCTTATATTAAGTTTTTTTGATATATATGATCAGTACATGTGCTGGGATTGACAAATATGTATTTTATTTCGATTTTAAAGGCGTTTTGAGCTCCAAACCCCAAGTGTCTGTGCAATCTGTAACCTTTTAAATACATCAATTTGAGTTCTTAAATCATGTGATTATAAAAGGAACTTAACTTATTTTATGTCAACGAAATGCAATCGTAAAATTGATATATAACCCTTATAAGCTTCAAGTTATTCATTTATATAAAACATCATATCCAGCAATTTTTTCGATTTCCTGAGGTTTTCTCCGAATTGGTGTAAAAAAGGGCCCTTTTAACGTTATATTAAAATATTTCAGATGCAGCTGTGATTGGGTCATGTGTCGGTGTTGTCTTAATTGTGATTGTTGCAATCATATTATCATGTTCGTAAGTATCCTATGATATCTTATCTTAAATATTCGTGTTACATTTTAGTACATCCGGTGTCTTAATCAAAGTAGCCCGCATAGAGTTTGACAGATGCATAACATCAGATATGGTTATACGTAAAAGCAAAGTGGGATCTTACTTGGGCTTGTCCGATTAAAGCCAATACGCGCATTCTTAAAAAAGAACATAATTCAAATAAATAAAATGCATATACACGCCATTTTTTCAGTTTCATTGCAGCCATTTTGTTTTATTTAGTTATCAGAATTAAGAGAACGAAATGTTCAAGTTTTGCAATATGTAGATAAAACAATTAGCCTCAAACTTGTGTGAGACATGATTGTGTACCTCTAGATCAATTTACCTAGGCCTTGACTTTTAGTTAGTGCTTCCGTTCCAATAGCTTTGCCTACTTTAATATCATTTGTTGAATCAGATATGTAAATGCAACTACCTGTACATGAATATAATTTGATACTTTTTTATACTTGTGAACGTTACTTTTCAGTAAAAATCGTAATAATTCGTATGAGATGAGTGGAACAGCACCGTTTACACCATTGACGAATGAAAAACGTCACTTCCTGCCACCAGACGGAGGCGAATCTCCGTCTAACAATCACTTCCACAAAAATGATATTGACAATGAGGAAATGGATCTTTCTTTATGGGAAACTAAACCTCCAACTGCAGAGAATACTAATACTTATTCCATGGCCTTTGACAATAAAACCTTTAATAGTAATGACGTTCCTGAAATAAAAGTATCTGAACTTCCGGAGCCATCCCCTGGTAACGAGCAAGCGCCTGTACCGGATGTTTTTCCTGCGCCTGACAGACAGGAAGAGGTGGTAAATGACATGATAGACGTTCTTGTACATCCAGACTCTTGATTAATCATTTTTAAAATCAATGGCAACTATGTGTTCCAGTTTTTCAAATGAATAGTTGGTCCGAATCTGACAATATTGAAAGAATAACATCTAACAGATGTACAAAGTATTAAAATAATTGTGTGTGTGTATGTTGACGACGAGGAGGTCAGATGTTTAAAAAAGATAATGGAGAAGGGTCGTATACTAAATTTCTTAATTTCTTTTTTTTTTGTGGTTTACGTACGGTTTGTAATCTATTTGTAGACGCTCCGAAAAACAGAATATCAAGGATATAGCTGCTCTCTGCAGTCTGTATTAAAAAATTAACTGCAGTAAGTTTATAGTTCCAGTCAGTCTGTTTGACACCAGTTAGAGGTTGCCAGATTATATAAAACGACTTCATCTTATGCTATAATTTTCTACTAAACTTTTATTATCTAGCTTTAATATTATTAACATAAATATGTTTGTAAGCATGGTCGGATACCCATGGTTGATTAACACGTATTTTAACATGTAATCAATAAATGTAAATGGTTCGGCGTGGGTATATGACGATGGTCAGTAAGTAAGGACCACATTCACTAGGAACTGACATGTTTTTTTCTAAAGATACTCCACATAAGTGCTAGATGTTCATTTCTGCAATTGTATTTTTTATGTTGATCTCTCAAAAGTCTTATAGATAAATAGACATCTATATATAAAGTATGTTAGGTATGAAAAATTATGAGTGGGAAAGACATGCAAATGAAGTTACGTAATTTTAGATAGAATGTAGAAAAGAAAAATTCATGCGCGAAGTTTATTGAAATATATATTTGATGTTGATAATTGGATGCAGCATATATGAACAATTTATAATTTGAATGATATTGCGATTATTTTTTCATTAGCTGTTCACTTATAGTTTTTAGTACCGACCTTTAATATTTTTGTCGTGTGTAGTGTAGGCACTGTAGATATATGAAGGTTTGTTGAGTAACTACTGTGTGACTGTAAATATTTAATCAAAAGTATTATTGTTCTTTTCTTTTATGAAAGTAAACAATACTTATAAATATATGCTTGAAGAAGCAAAGTAATTTTTCTTTTTGTCTTTGTGTACAACTTTTCAACAAATTGTGTGCACGATCTGTTTTAACATCGATGTCAAATCCAAATATCTTAAGTCACTCCCACGCTCGCCTGACGTAAAGCACTTATATATTTTTATATGAGACTTCAAATGTTATGCCTAATATTGATATCTTTTGAAAAGAAAATCCTGAATGTATAATACATAACTTATGACAAAGACTCAAAATTTGCATTGCACGTCAGTCCACTACAAAATAAAGTGACTTATAATGAAACTCAAACATATTACCGATGGACGCTGTGTGTAGCTAGCTAGGTTTTTAATGAGCGTCTAGCTGTTTATAGTATGTAAAATATATGATTATAACAGGATATTTACGATGTGGGACAGACAGTATTAGACGTGATGTCACATGATGATTATATTCGGAGTTAATTGCGCTAGACTGACACGTTAGAGGCATTATTGTCAATATTTTATATAAGTAAAAGTATTATATATATCAAGTTATGTGTGCGACTCTCATGCCGGTTACTCATATTCTACCAACAGTGCGTTTGTCACCATGATAATTATTACAAAAATGTTTCATTCGTCATTCATTTCTTCATTAGAATCGCTTCATGTAAACATATAAGATTTACAAAGTGAGTTATTTATCAGAATTCAATAACAACATTATATTGAAGGTTTAATGGGGGACTGATGCAAGGATATTGTGACCCTAATTGTATGAAGATAAGTTTAAAATACAATACAATATTATTTGAGCCGTGTCACGACAAAACCAACATACTGAGTATGCGACCATCAGAATGGATCCAGACCAGCCTGCGCAGTCTGATCAGGATTCATGATGTTCGCTGTCAGTTTCTACACTTGTAATAGAGTAAGTAGTAAACGAACGGCATGGATCCTGATCCTTATCAGACTGCGCGGATGCGCAGGCTGGTCTGGATCCATGCTGGTCGCAAACCCATTACGTGTATGTTGTTTCTGTCATGACGCGGCTCATTTTAATCACATTGCAAAAATACAAGTAATTATAGTAAAAAACGGAAAATGGTGGGTAAATATTAGAATAATGTAACACTTCGAGTGTCAGACCTGTTACCTCACATTTAATGACCTTTTAAAGAAATTCTGCACATCTTACTAATAATTTCTAAAATCTAATTTTTGAAGGTTATATTATCCTTTACCGAAGTGAAGCACCTGAATGATAATTCTTACAAAATGTATTGCAGGATATCACCACAAAAAAATTATGATTCACTCAATTTTTTAAATTTAATATTCACAAATTATCATTTTAGTCTTTTTAATTGGTGCATGTGGTTTTACACACAGTACAGTACCTTTATAATTATATTCTTACACTTAATTACAAATACAAATTTATACATTATTAAAGTGTATTTTAATCTACTCAAAATTTAAGGCATAAATATAAATGATAAAAAGTGTACTAGTTTTTTTTTTTATTTTTCTTTAATTAAACAGATTAAAAAAAAACTTTTGACAGTTTTTAGTGCCGACAGTGTTGTCAGTCAAATACCGTTTTGTTATGTCCGAGGAATTTGCAATGTATATCTAAAATCTTTTTTTTCCCTGGTAATTTTTTCAGTTTCAATAATTTTACCTTTTCTAAGGAAAGCACTGCTCTTGTAATTTGTCTGACTCCCAGCTCTAGAAAGATGGGTTACAAGATCTTACTGGGAAATAATTCCTTTAGGGAAAACGACACTAGTAGGTTCATGAATTTAAAATAATTTTAAAAAATCTTACTTGAATAAGACCTTTAAAGGATTTTTGAGGATGTTGAAAATGTAAAGAATTATGAAAATCTGGAGACAATGAGAACCCTCAGAAGCATTAATCACAACTAAATTACAAGAGAATTGCAGACTCGGTTTGATTGAGTCTGTACATGAGGGATAAGGAATATGTGCATCATCCCTCACGCCCCCTTGCACCGGCTTGAGCGGTGTTAAGTTAAATTCGCGATGCACTTTTTGTTTGTTTAAAAATATTTCATAGAAACGAAGATGATAATAACGTATAGTAGCGTTTCATGGCAAGTATCTTAGAGCCGCCATACATACAATTGCTCATAAGATATTTCAATTGTGTGAATATTGGACCACCAACTAATTTTGACCATATAGCAAAAAATGTCATGATGGTCTGAAAATGAGTTTTCTAAATGTCTTAATGATCTATCGAAATAAGTGTTTTATGTAATAACACATTTTTTCAGACGACAGCTTTAGTTGTCAAACTTGCAACAATTGCCGAGGGCATCCGATTGTCATGTCATGACGGCGAATCTAAGTTGGCGATTGTTACCGAAAAGAATCGCGTAATTCACGTGACACCGTTTACGCCGTAAATGTCAGTAACGTCGATACATTTTGACAGAAAAATATCTTCATTCTTTAACAAATCATTCCACGGGAGAGCCGCTTGATAAAGAAAGTAGAAGTTTTATAATGATCTATGATAGACTGACATAATACTATATTATTTTTATACAACTAACTAAAGATGCGATGGACTGAACGTTGGGTTAATAATTGAATATCATCAGAATTAAATTTATTGATAACAAATAACAATAAAACTAAAATGTGGAACTTACAGAAACTATCGTAAACTATACACTCCTGTGTGAAAAGTTTTAATTTATCTAATACAATACTTTTATATATCAAATATTTGAACTTATAAAAAGATTTGTGAAGAAACATTATTTCGCAGATATATTCTCTGGATTTAAAAATGACTTTCCTTCCCGGATTAACTCTGTTGGTTTTAATAGTGGCTGCTGTTGAAGGTATTGTTTATTTCATCTTATTTGAATTAGTATTAAAAATGATAATAATAATAAAAAAAAATAGAGAAAAAAATAAATAAAAACATGTAGCAATGATTCTGTGCCAGTATGGATCCGAGAAATATTTCAATAAATGTGAAAATATGCTTAATTAATACATATCAAATGATATTGTAAATTATAAAGAGTAAAAATACGAAGGAGTTCTAAAGCTGTAATTGGTTTTATTTTTCTATTATAGTGCATGGTCAAGCTTGTCCAGAAGGCGTCAATGGTAAGTTTACAGAAGTTTTTATAATGAATAATGTTTACGTTAATATAGACTTAAGTATTGTTTCTACATTAAACTAAACTACAATACAGTTTCTGTGTACATATATCATATATTGGGTGTTGGTTAATATTCTTATTACATGTATTTCCAAATATATATGCATATACATTTGTCTTTAGGTTGGTTCTGCTTCAAATATCAGTCTGTTTGTTCGTGCGTACACCGGCAACAGTGACATGTAAATTATGATTACAACAAAGCTTTTGAAGCTGTTGAAAAAAAGTAATATTATAAATCACTGATGATATTTTATTTGCTAAAAGCATGCTATATACTATTGTTTCCTTTTGATAGAGTCTCGTTTTATTATATTCTAATCATAATTATTTGTAGTTCTTTTACAATTTGCAACATATTAATCCTAATTGAATGTGTCAATGTATTGATCAAAGAAGTCATCTGAACAAAAATAAATAATAATAATTATAATATCTTTATTTCCTCCAAGAGAAAAAACTCTAAATACAAAATCAGTATACCAAGTTGGATAAAATCTATAAATATTTTAATGTATTTTGTGTATAACTGACAATGTTTCAAAAATCAACTAATACTTTATATTATTAAACTTCATTATACATGTATTCTTAACATAAGTACAAAAAATAACAAATGTTTACCATCTTGTTTGAAACATATTGGTGATTTAAGTGAAACTTCATTATCAGTTATGTATAGAACAACAACAAAAATATGAGCCGTGTCATGACAAAACCAACGCAATGCGTTTGCGACCAGCATGGATCCAGAACAGCCTGCACATCCGCGCAGTCTGATCAGAATCCATGTTGTTCGCTTACAAACCCTATTACAAGTAGAGTAACTGATAGCGAACAGCATGGATCCTAATCAGACTGCGCGGATGTGCAGGCTGGTCTGGATCCATAGAGGTCGCAAACGCACTATGTTGATTTTGTCCTGACGCGGCTCAATTATATTTTCATCAGTTAAATTAAAGATTTACTCAGTCTATCTTTATATAACTTAGAATTGGTAGAAATTGACAAACAGAAAATCAGAAAAAATTATATCGGGGGAAAATTATGGTCCACTGAAACAAAAATTTGCAAGTTTTAATGGAACAGAAAAGTATGGGTCAAAGAAACTTTTTGTCGTTTATCAATGGCGCAGCGTTATTTTTTAAAAAAAATGATTATTTTAGATACAATTCTAAGCATGTGATTAAAAAATAGGTAGGTTTACCGTCCGAATTTATTTGAAATACAAAAAAAATCAGTCGTAAATATGCATTTCATATTCTTTAATGTATATAACCAATATGTTAAACAGGCGTCGGTAGGGTCATTTTTCGAATTCTATACAAATGTAGCTTCTAATCTATAATCATAGCAAGTAGTTATGTCATAAATTTCAAAGATACCATTTAGCTAATTCATTTGCTTAGGATGTCTTTGACAACATATGTGCTGTATATCAAGAGGCATTAAAAATTTTCATATCGGGTTCTTATGGATATTTTTTGTATTCTGCCCTACAAAAGTTATACGTAATAGCAAAAGAACACACGTTTAGTTTATAATATAATTTAATAAGGCATTAATGTGCCTTATGTATAAATCACAAGTCGGTGTAAGGGTCGACAATCTGGACTGAAAGAAGTTAGGACATTTATACAATAGTTCTAAATAAGATGTCTTAGGTTTTAATCATAATTCAATGTAATCATGTTAATACAGACAGATTCAATCTCATTAAGTGTCCGTCACGTCGTGACATGTATAACGGGAAGGACAACTGACCAGTGTATTGTGTGTTGTCAGTGGTCAACTAGAAATGACCGATCGCCAATGTTTATACTCGGTTATCAATCAAGTTCCGCCGCGGTCATGACAATAAAGTCCCTCACAGTCATAAATTCATAAGTATTGTAAAACTAGTAAAAATTGTTATTAGAAAATGTGTGCGATATAATACAATAAATCATATATTACGCGGGTTTGACAGTCTCAACGAGAAATATAAAGAGAAACATTGTCATAAAGACAGGGGAAAAAACAAGAACGGTTTTTGTCTGTAATGACACATGTATGTAAACTATAAATAAGCACTCTTAATTGACCTACGACATTAATATCTTATGAAATATTCCTGTTAGTAATGTATGATTCAACAGCTTAAAATACTAACTTGAGTCACAGTATTTATGTACAAATCTCTGTCAATTATTTTATTATGTGTTATTTATTTTCTACTTGAATATACTTATCGGGGTGACGAAACTTGAATTTCGCAAAATAAAATGCGCAATAATTTGCGCACATAAAACAGAGTTTCCAAACTCTTTAATTTGTAGTTAAATTGTCCATAAATCTTTGAGCAGCATGTATCAGTTATAGCCAGTCGTATTAATAAAGATGTTAACTACCATTGACAAATCTTTAAAGTTACATAAAGTGTTTGCCCCACAGTTGTTTGGCTAGTTGATTGGTAGCGTACAACCCATTCCCGATCCCACACGTCAAACATTCCCAAACCATTTAAACTACACTATTTTACGAATACTAGATACATGATTGTGATTCAATTTGCTTCACCTCAAATAAATAAATAAATAAATAAATAAATAAACTTATTAGAATAAAATATATAAAAACTAATGATAAAAAATGATACATTAATACTGTGTATCTAAAAAAGAAACGCAACAGCTGGTTGATTATTTTACAGCAGTCATCCCAGTGCAAGCTTCACAACTCCAATATTTATTCACCAATTTTAACTTAAAATCTTGGTAACTGTGTGCACACGTGTGTTACACGACACTAAATCATATTTTCATGATATTGAAAGAGAGACTACGCTTGAGGTGGGAGGTCTCTATGCATAAAAAAGTTGACCTCTCTCCAAGGATATTAGTGAAAGAAACACATCTTGTATATCAAACAACAATAAATCCGTTTTCTTTTGAAATTAAATACGTCGTTTCGTAACTGACTTTGCACTCATCCATCAAATGAGTCTGTAAATCTGTGTCCTATAGACACAGGGTGGAATGTACTACAAGGTGGTCAGTATCATAGGTTAAAACGTTTAAGACATAATATCACTAGATTCAATGTGCTCAGATACACACGTGTTTGAAAAGAATGAGATATTAAATGATATCATTTCATTAATTATGTTATTTACTTATTAGTACTTATACTGAAACACCCAAGTATATCATTTATAGTATGTAATATAAAAACATATCATAACTAATCATAATTAATCATAGCAAACATTCTTTGGCTATAAATATTTCACTTACCTCTGCCACATTGTTGTGGTCAATGGTATTTTACTTGCCGCCTTCTTATATGTCACCATTCATCAGGTCATACCACTAATTGAAATAATCTAATTTGTATAACATTACTTTATTGAACGCTGTAAACATATTTGATGTTATAATATAACATAATTAAATATAATTTCATTATATACCATTAAGATCTACTGTATCCAAAATTGACAAATACTAGAGACATAAATTTTATGCCTTTACTTAACTTTTTTGTAGGTTTAATTGGTAAATAGAATGCATGCAAGTTTGATTGGTTAAAATATATTTTATTAAATTACAGTTGCTAAGATGTGTGTACCTGGAACGTACTCCGGAGAAAGAGTGCTTATAGATACCGCATCATACGACCCGGCTGTTAGTAACTGTTCGTGTACATTTGGAACAAACTCCAGCGTCATGAAACTCGTCACCTACGTGGCTCCTAACTACCCAGAATGCAATTCTGCGATAAGGTACGTAATTTTCGATGTTGTTGAAGGGTAAAGAGAAATTGATTTTACTTTTATCCAGTTAGTTCTGTCCTGAAATGCGCAGTCATTTGTAATCCTTACGTTTTCCGCGTGTAAAATGGTTTTCTTCCCCGCTGCATTCCTACTTTTTTGCATTCTTGCAAAACAAAATTTGGAGGTTATAGCTTTGATGAAAGCGAGGTATTTGGCTCTGAATGTATTTTGACTCCCGTCACTATAACAGCTCTCAGGCTCAGGTAATTGGCCAACGAGTAACATTTTGGGCACCAAAAATCAAAGCTGTTGAGAAGCATAAAAAAGAGAGGATTTCTAGGGCTCTATGGGTCTATAATCAATGGTTGTAATTTTATGTTAACAACTTTTAAATCTTGTACAACACATATATCTTATACATTGTTTTCTAGGCTGTACTCGTCGTCAGGAAACAGTATACGGTTTCAATGTTTAATGTCCGGAACCTACCTTGATACGTCACAATACAATGCTGGTGTTGCGACGTTTGAGACGTATTCAGACTTATACGATAAAAACTACTGTCTCGTTCTGGAAATTGCTGGACGTAAGCTATCATTAAATGATTTACATTTGTTTCGATAAATTTGCTAGAAGTATAAATTAATAAATAAACTAAAAGATATTATAAAAGTACACCAGTGATAAATGAGTGGGTATATCTATGTATGACATTCATGTATTGATATTTGAGCTGTGTCACGACAAAACCAACATAATGGGTTTGCGACCAGCATGGATCCAGACCAGCCTGTGCATCCGCGCAGTCTGATCAGGATCCATGCTGTTCGCTTTCAAATCCTATAACATGTAGAGAAACTGAAGGGAACAGTATGGATCCTGATCAGACTGCGCGGATGCACAGGCTGGTCTTGATCCATGCTGGTCGCAAACCCATTATGTTTGTTTTGTCATGACACGGCTCATTTATTGTTGTCTTTTACTTAATATTTACTTAAGGAAATAAAAAAAGAAATATTTCTAGAGAAGTGTGCATTATGATGTGAATATTGATAACATCTCACTAGCACTAAGTTTTACCAGTTAATCCATTGAACAATACATGTCAGATGTGCTTGACTTAATTTGTTTATTCAATAACCTAGTGTACACATGCATTGTTGTGTCATTGCTATATTTTGACACGATAGAGTGGTATAAAATGCGTTTCAAATTACTTTTACAGGAATCGATGATACGGTAACAGTGTCATGCACTGCAGACATAGAGGAAGAATTTTCTTCAACTACACCATCTAGCGTTCAGGATAACTCAAATGTTATTAATGACGTAATAATTGAAAGTAATAGTACAAATGCAGATGTCTCTATGAACTATTCAACAACAGCAAATGAGATGAGCTCTCCGAGTATGGACAACACGGCAACAACAGATCAAACACCACAACAAACAACACAACAAACGACTGAAACAGCAGAGGTTATTTCAACAATGCCAGCAACAGTTGCATCATTGATACGATCAGAAAATATAACTACAAATGCAGCAGGATTAGCTATAGATATAACTGATGCAACCCTTAAATCAATGGAAAAAATATCAAAAGTTACAATAACTGGTGCGATATCAACAGATGCCACTTCACGGGCTTCAGCTATCAATGCGACAGTAGCAGACATTGCATATGAAAGTACCACAGCTGGAACGATATCAACAGATAGAGCTTTGTCTGTAGATTCAACTGTGAGATCAGTGATAACTGAAACTATACCCGCAGCTTCACATGCCGAAGTGGTTCCATCAGAAGCAGTTTCTGTAGTATCTGGTGCAGATTTATCAATGCGATTTTCAGGCGACATTAACACAGTTAACAATTCAAGTGGTGACCTTTCCCTGTCTTCTAATGCATCATTCACACCTCATGATTTAGACATTGTGTTCACAAGCTCTGCAGACAATAGTACCAACAATACTAATTATACATCACACATTGATTCTGTTGATAATTTACACTCTCTTTATGATAATAGCATATCAGATATATCTGAAACAAAGACTCAGGGTGATTTAACAACTTTATTGACTGGTACAGTTCTTTTCAACAGAGGAGGAAGCGGTTTATCAAAAACCATACAGAATATTGGCTCAGTCCAGGCAGATATTCTCAATGATAGAATGGTGGTTCAAGAAAGTACAACAACATACAAACCTGAAACAACTACGAGAGTTCCCATTTCAAATTCAGTGAATTCAAATGAAATTTCCAATTCACTAAATTCGAACACTGATTTATTTTTAAAATCTGATGTTACCGGGACAACATTGCCAGTAGACATATCAAATTCATTCAATATGGGCGCCGGTGCTTCTGTCGAATCTGACATTTTCAGCATGTCAAGTAACTCATCAGATGCTAATGACAGCAACTATTCACTGAAATTTCCAGCTCTTGATCCAGTGATGATCTTATCGAATCAAAGCACAGAGAACACAACTGATGATCTTACAAGTTCATATGCCTATAAAACACACAACGAAAATGACACTTTAATTCTAAATATTAATTTGAACAGTTTTGTCAATAATAAAAGCATCAGTTCTATTGAGACAAACGCTGTTAATAATAGTGTCATGAACATTCAACAATTCGACAATCATTCTAACAATTTTGCTGTAACATTGGAATCATCAACTTTTCAAAGCAATGCTACTGATGACACTTTACTCAGTACCGAAGTTACCAATAATGCATTACGTACATCCCCTTACACAACAAACGAAGCACGTTTAATTATGGAAAGCTCAGAACCTATCGATATTATTGCAAATATACCGATGAAAATTCCATATGTAACAGAAAATACTACGCTTCCAATGTCAAGTGATTTTATAGTTCAAAATGAAAATAAAACTATAAATGAATCGAAGCAAGACAGTGGTAATTCTGTTGTTAATGTCACGAGTAATGAATTATATCCAACAACACTTCCTGGATTTCAGTTTGAAATGACAGATCCAACAGTCAATAATCGTTCACAAGAATTATTACAGGAAATGGTAAATGAACAAAACAACCAAACACTACATAGTGATGTAGAAACAAATGTCCATATCTTGATGGAATCATCAACAGTTGGTAGTTTAGCCAATCACATGAAAGACTCAAATGATAGCTTAAATGACACATTCAATGGCAGTCTGAACTTCGTCTCTGATCCACTGACAGTTCTGAGCATGGGAACAACACCAAGGTCACTAGATTTGATTGATAAAGAACAATTAAGTCAAAACGCAACAGTAAACGACACTGATGCATCAATAATGGATATATTCACCGAATCTCAAGCAAGTAACTTTTCGGGATTTGAAAATAGGTTCACAAATACTGGATTCGAAAAGAGAAACACTTTTGAAAGTTCTACGTACAAAATGCCAGTTGAAAAGAATGTCGAAAATCGTTCTGACATTGTCACAGATCACAACTCTGGTTTAATCGAATCTTCAAATGAAACAATACCAATTATTGATAACAATAACGTTCCCTTACAAGCTTCTCACGACCAAAGTAACATATCAATGTACGAAGTAAATGCAACTGAATCTATGAGATCTTCTTTCGACAAGGCATATACATTTTTCCAAGATAAGACTGTAGATCATTTGTCTGCATTACATGAAAACAATGGGACTTCAGAGTCTTATTTCAATCAAACCGATACGGTGTTTGACCAAGAAGCAGTTGCCTTTGCAGAAAAAACTTCATTGCCTGTCGACGGTTCTGACAAAGTTACACCAGAAAAAAGAGAAATGAATGTTAGTAATTTATCTATAACAAACAATATCAGTGACCCATATCATGTCAACAAGACAGACACAATACTAGATATTGCTGATGCAATTATTGACAACTTTACAAACAGTCATATTGAAGATGTACAAAATTTAAATAACGTTCTTTATCAAACTAAAGATGAAAGTGTTACTCAAAGAACATTTGTTCCAGATGCGACTACAATAGCTGATGAAAGTCTGTCGTCGAGTGAAACTGCACCAATACTTAAAGATGCTATTGATTCTATGGCATTCGCTCATCGCCTGAATGGGTCTGTACCTGAAATAAACGTTACAGAGGAAACAATGACACAAATGATGGAAGTTGTTACGCTAAAAGCTGATAATTTGACATTTGTTCATCGGATTGATGAAACTTTATCAAAAAGTGAACATTTACCACAGATAAATTTGACTGAAACATCAAATAATGTTGTTGAACAGGGACAATATTTGGCTGATGAAACAGCAATTTCTCATTCATTCGACGTTCCAGAAAATGTAGTGACACCAGTGCAAAACGAAACAAACGTTAACAATATGACAATCGCTCAGCGCTTAAGCGAGTCAGTATCTGAAATTAACGTTACCGGAACCACATCAACACAAATGCCAGATGTTGTCACAGAAAATGTTGATACTAGTAATTTAACATTCGTCCATAACATTGACGAAACCTTATATAAAAGTGAACATTTACCACAAATAAACGTGACTCAAGCATCATCTAATATTATTGAAAATGGGTCATATTTGGCTGATGAAACAACAAGACCGTATTCTTTTGATGTTCCAGCAAGTTTAGCGACAACAGTTCAAAGCGAAACCGACATGAACCGTATGACATTTGTTCATCGTTTAAGCGAGACAGTATCTGAAATAAACGTAACAGAAATAACACCAACACAAATGCCGGATGTTATCACAGAAAAGGTTGATACCAGTAATTTGACATTTGTCCATCGCATTGATGAAACTTTATCAAAAAATGAATATTTACCAAAAATGAACTTGACTGAAACATCATCTAATGCTATTGAGCAGGAACAATACTTGACTGCGGAAACAGCAGCTTCTTATTCATTTGATGTTCCAGCAAGTATAGCGACACCTGTCACAAACGAAACAGACATTAACAATATGACATTGGTTTATCGTTTAAGCGAGTCAATATCTGAATTAAACGTTACAGAAAACACGCCAACACAAATGCCGGATGTTGTCATGGAAAATGTTAACAATTTGACATTCATTCATCACAGTGATGAAATTTTATCAAAAAGTGAGCATTCACCCCAAATGAATTTGACCCAAATATCAACTAATATTGACCAGGGGCAATATCTGGCTGGAGAAGCAGCAACTTTACATTCATTTGAGTTTCCAGCAATTGGAGCAACATCTGTGCAAAGCGAAGGAGACATTAATAACTTTACTTTTGTTCCTCATCAAAATGAGTCTACATTTGAAACAAACGTTACAGACAACACACAGATGTCAGATGCTATCAAATCTGAAAGGGTTGGTACATTCATCCATGACATTAATGAAACATTGTCAAATGTTGAACCTTTATCAGAGAAAAAAATTATGACACAAACTTTGACCAATACAGATGAGCAGGCATCATTCTTTGACACAACACACACTTCTTTATCTGAAATTAATTTAAGAGAAAACACTCCTATATTGATAGACAGTGAAGTTAGTCAGTTATCATTTGTTAATCGGCTAAGTGAGACCTCTATTCAAGATGTCGCCACGGAATCTACACCAGACAGTATTACTGAAAATGTGAATACAAAATTTACCGGTCTTGTGGACACTAATTTACTAAGCGTTGCACGTCAAGAAACAAGTACAAGTATTTCATCTTCTTCGTCCAATTTACATGGGACTGCTTTATCAGATCAAACAACAAGTACCGACAGGATTGTAAATGAATATATGATTGACAATAGCATTGATCAGCATAATGTACTTTCTTCCACCGATGCAATGCCTTTTGACATCATCCAAGGGAGTGTTAAAACAACAACACAAAAGACGCCAAATCCAACCACAGTTTTCATACCAACAACCACATATACTTTTAGAGAAGATATTCAAACTGACAGATACGAACGTACAACACTTAAACCTTCATCTACACGTTCTATATCAGACAGTTTCACGGAAAAACAAACGACTTCAGCTACAGATATTACCTCAAACAATGTTGAAGATATGATTGTAGGAGAATTCGTTAAGAGTGTACATGCTGGTATTCCTAACAATATAGGTAGCATAACGGAATCTTCAGATACTGCTGTACTTCCTGATGTTTTAGCCGACATCGAAAAGCAAATTATTCTTGGAATAAAGGAAAGTACTCCATCGGTTCCAGAATTATTTAGTACATCCACACACAAGACAGTAGAAAATATGTCAACTTCTGTTCCGAAGTTGACCGCCGTTAATACACAGGATAGAAGTGGTACAGTTAACGAAGATATTCCTGAACCTATTATTCCAAAGATTCCATCAAATGAAGTCAATAATGAACAAGTTACACCAAAGAAAAACTTGGACATGGTAGAGGGGAAAGTTTTGGTTGAAGATACGTCTCGAACAATGCCTGATAAAGCTGGTGAAAGTGGAATGAACGTTTTTTTCGACACTGGAAAAAGTAAAAGTTCAGCGTTTGATATGAATAACGACACATACAGTAAGTTATTTGTATATGATATATATTCATCTTTCTAAAATTATTGATTAATGGAATTTAAATCTTGCCTTTACAATTCAGAATAGACATACTAGAAATGTCATAACAAAGAGAATATAAATGTTGTAAAAGAATGTGCTTGTCAAGGTATAAATTATCCTTTATGAAAGATCTAAGAACTAAGTGCAGCTGTAAAACTAAGTTTAACTATAATACATGTGCACATAGGTTTCTATTAATACGCATATTTTCATATTTCAGTAATTGTTGTCGGTGCTATTGTTGGTCTCGTAGTAATAGCTGTAGTAATCGGAGTATTTTGTCATAACGGAAGAAAAAGGTAAGTCTAGTCATTTATATGTATGTAATGGTTTATTGGCGGCTTGGCAAATTTTAGTTTATATGTCGGTAGCGTGTTTACAGTACCAGTGTCCAATTTGCACGATCTCTAATCGAATATTATCTTTAGTAGCACTAAAGTCAATCGCTGAAATACTTCCTGTTAACTATTGAATTGATTTCGGAGAACACTTGATATTCAGTACATAACTAGATAACTTACACAGTAGAGGCATATATATTCTTTTTATGTTTAATAACATCATTCATTTAAATGATTAAGCATATACATTTTCTGTTGATATATATTTATATACATGTATTGTATGAATATGCTTCCAGATTTTTTTTGAAGCAGCATGCCTCCAGATTCATGCTTATGTTCATGAAAATTTTAAAGTAAAATAGTGTGAAGTAAACAAAGAAAGTAATTGACACATTGCATATCGGTACTTATACTCCTTGTAAATTACAAAAAAGGGGTCAAAATATGCAAAAATAGCCCCTACTGCGTAAGTAACGTAGTAGAAATATGGTGATAAATAATGCAAAAAATCACATAAGATATAAATTATCATTTGAATCTTTTATCTGTTTACTTTACTTACAATCTTAGTACATTTTGCCTATGTCTAATTTTCTTGGAATATTTTGGCTCATCTGGAGGTATGCAGCTTTAAATGTTCATGAATTTTTGTTTTCATACTTAAAAGTTAATATTAGTTTTAGGGCGTTTCCCAGTGATCCTACATTTGGAATAAAATTACTTTTATTATAGCATAAAATCATGTTTTTTCTACCGTCAATCTGAAATCATTCTAAGAATTTCTGAGGGTCATGTTTCATCTTGGGCAGAGTAATTTAATGTTTTTTATTCTTGAGTTAATAAATCTCCAATGATAAGCTTTGTTAAATCAATTAAAATTCGAATTTTCGAACGGTTCTGAGCATTTGAATTTCAAAAGTAGTTGGCCCCGGAAAAATAAAACGCATACGTAAAACATGTAGAATTGGATAAATACCGTCCAAGGACAAGGATTTAATGTATGTGCTTTGCATTAAATATACATCACGATTTTTTTTTAAAAATATGCTATAATAGCGTCAACGCACGTTTTTTGTCGTGTAATAAAATCTGCAGAGTCCCTCGGAACTGTTGAAGCCCTCGCCCTACCGGGCTCGGGCACCAACCGTTCCTCGGGACTTTGCAGACGTTATAACACGAAAAAACGTGCGTTAACACTATATAAATGCATTAAACTTTCTTTCAGGCGTTCTGAAAAGGTTAACATAAGCGGAAATAACGCTGAAGCACCAAATCATCAGAATCAGGCATTTGATAACGAGGCCATGAACGACGTACCAGGGAGCACAGTTACACAAAATGGCGGTGGATCACCGGAAGTAAATGGCAGCTCAAGTGCTGATGCCAAATCAGAAGATGTTCGCAATGGCAATGTTGAATTATGATAGATGTGCATATTTGTTCTTGTTGTTTATGTTATAAAATATTTATATAGTGCTGATCCAACAAATTGTCGCATACAAACATTACACATTAGATGTGTCATAAGGTTTTCTTGTAGTATACAAACTCGAATTCTTCTTTTGATGTGATTTCAGACAAAGATATAGCTATAACTTATTTTAAGAAATTTTAATAATATGGTTATGAAATACGGAAGTGTACTTACGAGTGTGAACCGAAGCTGGAATTTCTACCGAAAATGAATGAAAACTGAGAAATGATGTATCTATTATCGTTGCAAGATGGACAAACGCGTATCAGTCATAGCTTACAATCTTCCAGATAACTTTAACATTTAGGAGTAACGAGGGGGGGGGGTCGTTTTTGTTCATGTGAGATAAAGATAGTTACACGGATGTCTTATCCGTGATATCTTATGTGTGTGAACCTAAACACAAAATCATTGACACTTGAAATATAACTAGTAGAATTTGAAAGTCGCATGAAATCTTAAAGGCAGAATTGTTTACTTGTTATTGAATTATATATGCTATTTTTACCAAATATAACAATCATTGTAATATAAAGAGCAAAGTTATTCAGACCTTATTTATTTGCTTCTCTTGAGCATTGAGGGAAATATCCTAAAGGAGTCATTTATACACACATTAAGAAAGAAAGAAGTTAAGGTGGGCTGGCTATCACAATGCTTCACAACATAATAACGTAACGTTAGATTGTATTTTTTAAAACAATGCTTTCAATTTCAGAGGCGTTATAGCATGAGTCTTTTTTATCAAAGTTAATGGACATATTTGCTTTCATTACATGTATTCTAAAGCATACTTTATGATTTAAAGATATATGACATTTTGTATTGTAATTTGTTCATTTCTTTCGTGTTTTATATATATATTTAATGTCCATAACTTGTTTCTATTAGCTGCTGCATGCTTGCTATGCTTGGTTAAACGACCCTATTGTACATTAATGTACATAACATTTGTAAATATATTTAAGTGCCTACATTTAACATGTTTTAAATATGACTTGAAAATAAACTGTGTAATTTGTATACGATTTTCATTTTTTCTTCTTCATACCCTGAATGATTTTATCATCATTACTGCCATGAACAATATCTGTCTGTGCTATACATAATTTACTTTCTCTGAAATTTAAATATATAAAGCTTAAAATAATGAGTTTTTTGTAAACGTTTAAACAGCTCATTTATTAAAAAGTAGAAATTACCCCCTGCAAAACGTAGATGATTTTAACCCACCGAAATGTCGGAAGACAAAAGTCAGAAAGGTCCACAGTTTTTTTTTTTATTTTAACGAAGAACTGTCGAGGATGTATTCGACGCACTATGTAAAAATGTATATGTTGCAATTTAGAATTGTACTCGCAGCTGCGAAGCTCCATAATTTTAAATTAGAATATTTAAGCAAATATTTCAAATGTAATGAAAAGGAGGAAATTTGGTTTTGTGTTTCGAGCGGCGGTTAATAAATATTCTGTTCGCTTTGTAAATTAGGAATCTGTCATAAGTAAAAGTATTAATTAAAATTATATTACACAAAGCGTGGGTAAATTCTTGCTTGTATGTGTACATTATCAAAATATACAGCTTTTAGTATTTTCAAATGAATTTGCTGAAATATAGTATCATATTCCTTTGCTTTTTGTTGCAAATGTAAGTTAATGATTTACGGATTCGCCAACAACAAGTATTGCTCTATAAAAATGCCCACATTTTTAAAGAGAAAAAAGAATACACTTTATTGGGAAAAACAATTCTGAAAAAAAATAGATTTATGCGAAGAAAAATTGCCAGCCTTCCAAATCTTTTATTCACACAGCATATAACCAACAAGGTTGCTTGTATAGAAATCGCGTACATCTATTATCACATTGTGTAAGGAAGCAGATAAGGGCGTATTTTATTGCCGTTATTTAATGATGTTATGGTTAAAATAGCACTATATTCTACATGTAGCACATTATAAATAATATTGACAGCTAATTGACATATGTCAGAATGGTGTCAACTAATGTGAGATATTGGTCTGACCATGGACAACTGTCAATAATAAAAAAGAGAGAAAAACAATACAAATACAGGCACGTTAACTTGTACAGGTATAAGTAAATTACATTAGATGAAAGCCAAAAATTGAAGGCTATGCAAATAAAAAAAAAAACTCGTATCATATTTCTAATTTCATAGTGCATATCGTACAATACCGTCACACTGGTTTATGCCGGCTCGCCACGGCGAGCCGGTATTACGATAGGATTTTACTGAGAAACAACCTAAAACTCCGAATCAATCCAAAAATTTAATCGAAGCTTAGCTTCCAGCTTTCTACAAAATTTATCTATCAGGGCTAGGATCCAAAATTATTTAGCCAATCAAATTTGATCTTATATAGCGTCAAAAAACCTTCAATTTTCACGCCATTTTTAAAAAGCAGCAAGTATTGTTTTGAGCGCAAAGATATATTGATGATTAAAATGTTTGTTTTCATGGATTCTTTTCAGTAAATCATATTTACACTGACTTTTGATTTAGCGATTTCACCAGTCCTGTTTACTCTGTAGTAAGTTTTCGTTTGTTTAATTAACATAAACGACATCTGGTTCTGTGCATTTTTTTCTTTTTCCTTTTTTCCGGTCATTTTATCCTTTCCGGTATTTAGTGTATGTATTTACGGATTTAGCTCAATACAGGACTGGAGCAGTACCTCTAGACGCTTGCAGAAATCATGATCACAAAATAGTCAAATATCGTTTTTTTCGCCGAATTTTACATTTTTCCTTGATTATCGTACTTGATTCGGTGTGAAAAGATGAATTAGACCTGTCAAAGTTCATTCCGTTGGGTAAAAAGACACGATTTTAGCATTTTATCATTCAAGCGCCTTGTCCGGTATATACCGGAATACGGTATTTAGTGTGGTGCTCCAATCCTTTTTTTAGTCACAGCCTGTATTTACTGGCCGGGATCCGGGACGCCCGGGATCCGGGATCGTATACGATAATAAGGGAAAAAACTAATAAACGATATTTGTGTTGATTATTGTCGTAATGAAAGGCCATTAAACGTTAAGTTTTTTTATTGTATGTAATGAAAGTTAAATTGATTTAACTTAGGATATAGATATATTTAGAGCTATTTATTAACAAAATCACAATACTTATAATTATATGCCTAATTAATTGGAAAAATCAAAGACTATATTCTTGAATTTGTCAAATCCCGGGATCCCTATATACGATCCCAGCTTTTCTGAAAACAATATTCTTGAACTGTCCAATTCCTTGGATCTCTTAATTTTTTAATATGATCCCGGCTTTTCTGAAAACTATATTCTTGAACTGGTCAATTTCCGGGATCCTATTTTTTTAATAGGATCCCGGCTTTTCTGGCTGAATTGATAGACAACTTGTGTTTACTTCAGGACTTGTATCTGTCACTTATTCCAATACTAAATAACATATTACAACTTAACTTCGTATAAAGAGACATTTTTATGAATTCTACTTATCTATTTTTTTTCTGGTCAAGGTCAACAGGCCATTTAGTAAATGTGCGTAGACATAGGGACTTCATTCTATCTGTTTACATCTTAATTCATATATACTCATATTCCTCTTTGTTAAACTGAGAGACTGAGAGAACTGGCTTCCTTAACTTTATATGTCACTATATTTTGATGTTCGCTGAAGTCTTTTCAGCTAACAGAACTGTCATTTTTACATTTAAACACGCCCCTGGAAAGAAATTACGAAGCGAGTCGCTACTAGCTTTTTTAAAAGCTAACCTTGTACAGAATTTATTTTAGTTCGATGGTGTAGGAAGCTATTAGCTTATAGACACACTTTCGAATCCGTTCCTGGAACCAACCAGTACTGAGCAATGAGTGTAAAGTTTCTTGCTGAAGGAAACAACGACATGCCCCTGACGGGGTCTGAACCCATGCGGCTAGCGATCATTAGATTACTAGTCCGACGCGTTAACCACTCGGCCATTCCGCCGTCACACCGACAAGCGGCTCAAATACTGATAATGAAATATATTCAATGAGACACCGATTTTGTCCTCGATGTTTCAAGTTTCAACCGTATTTGAGTGTTTCTAGATAGATGTTTTTGTTTGTTTGTTTGTTTTATTTTACGCTTTTTTCCAACAGTATTTCAGTCATATAGGCGGGTAAGTTTCCTAACCATCGTTCCTGGAGAGTTACACCAGTACTAGACTACCTTCCTCCGCGCTAAACTACCAAAGCATCTCCCGGGGATCGAACCCACGCCAGAGAGGTAACTGGATTAGAAGTCATCGACTCTAACCCCTCGACCACGGAGGCGGTCTAGATAGATGTAAAGATGTAATAAGGGGTATAAGGTACCGCATTGAAAATAGTAGGACAAATGGCCCTCGACCAAACTCCCATCAGCTGATTTGTAAAACAAAATTACTAAATGTCCCTCAGAGAATTAATTGTTATTATTTATAAATAAGACGTCAGTTGTTTAAATTGTGATTTAATTAATTTGGTAAAATATTTCTTCCTCAATGAAATATGCATGCAATTTGATATAATTACACCTTTTCTTAACAATGGTTCTTAGCGTAAATACATGACAAATAACAACCTAAAATAAACAGAAATATAAAACTGGAGTAAAAGACTGTTATGAAGAATGTAACACTTAGTCTGAGCAGCACTTTTAAAACAAGCACATAAAAAGAGCACTATTAACTTTCTAGGCACCGTTTAAGTTTATGCCAGTAATTTCATAAAAATAGATATTCAAATATGTTATAATTACTAAACAATTGTTGTAGGTGTAGTCATTTACCTAAATCATCTATTTGCCCGACGACACAAGTAAAAGAAAGAGCATCAAAACACGGGGCTATCTGATTTGTACGAGGGGACGTAGCCCCCGAGTAGAAATCAGATTGTTGAGTGTTTGATGTTTTTTCTCTTTATCATAGACAAAAATAAAATCCCTGTCATCACAATATGAAACACCAGATAAAAGAAACCAATGAACGAGCATCTGAATATGACTTTTCTATTATTGTTTCTTTCCCCGTCGTCGCAATAAATGACGCCCAGAAAAAATAAAGCAATTCAACGAGCATGCTCTTGACAGCGGAAAGCTAATACCTGCACTCCAGTTAACGCACTATGCATGTATATGTACATGTATACGATTTATCTCTTAAACATTTTAAACAGAAAGGTTTCCAAACGATCATACAATTATAAATACAATATGAAGAAATGCATTTTGTCTCCTTTTTCTTAGAAAACAAGAAACAGCATTAAAACAGAGTAACGTTACATTATTGAACGTCAAAAGTGAACATTATTCAAAATATACACCAAAAATAAGCGCGATGACAAATAAAGATTTGTTTTTGTAGGTAACACACACGCTGCTATCAATTTTATCATCCCATACACAACGACTGACCACCTCCAACCCCTGATCATCTACCTGACCGACCATCACATTTACTGCAATCTTAAAACGTGGAAAATTCAATTCTTTGACCCTTTCTTTGACCCTTTCTGAAATTTCGCACGAGAGTTTGCTGCAAGTGTCGTGACTGTATACTACGTCCTCAAATTCGTCCTCAAACAGCTCTTTCACGCATTTTTCTACTTTAGCAGCAGAGAACCCTTTATCTTCGTCAGGCCGCATTCTGTATGTGTTCTCTTTCTTTACTACAGGCTTCAACATATCTGCTGAAATGTCTGACTTTGCACGTAAGGACATTGTTAATCTTCTCAACCCAGCTCCTCCAGCTTTTAAGTGGTTTGTCAAATCACGCAGGTTTGACTTCCGTCGACTGGAAAGATCTCCTGGCGGTTTTAAACCACTCGAAGCATTAATCGATGCCTTCCTGCTCCTCCATTCTGTGAACACGTCGTCCTTCTGCCCTTCTGGAGTAGGTTTTAACGGCAACTGTAATATCAAAGTCATTATCTTAATTATGTTGAAATCAGAAAACAGTTGACCGTAGACTGAAATACAGAAATTATTATAATCTTAAAAAAATCACTCGACTTAAAACATAATGCGTGTTGTTTATTATCTTGCAATTCTTTTCATTTTGAAATAACTTACGGATTTACCTTTATTGCAATTTTATTTTTAAACAAGTGTGAGCTGGAAAGTTATGAATGCTATATTTGTTGAAAAAAAGTGTCAATGAAAAATAAAAAAAAATGCAGTGGAGGGTTAAAAATCTTGTCATGTCATTTGCACCCTTTCTCAAAGACATCTTCCGATCTATGAAGTTTCAAGTTGATATTTCAAACACTTTTGGAGTGATGCTACGGACAAAAATGAAGGCCATGAAAAATAACATTTTGAAATGTAGAATTATCGTTCTCGCATCGTGCTGCTCCTGAATGAGATTTATCCGCCCAAGAAGAAAAAGAATATATATCCAAAATACTGTTTGGATTATGCTCCGAGCAAAAATGAAAAATAACACAGGTAAATTATTCAAAAATATGAAAGGTAGTTGTTATTCTTGTGCACTGCATTCCCCTTTTTATTTGTGTTTACTTATGAAATTCAAGTTCATATTTCAAATACTTTTTAACTTAAATGTGGGATGAATAGACGGAAGGACGGGCGAGACTCAAAAAGGCGTAAGGTTTGGTCGTTTAATGTTGCTCCCTTACCCTCGCTAAAACCTAGGATACAAATTACTATTTTTGAGAAGATAATTACCTTAGTGGCGGCATCTGTTGCTGTTGTCATTGTTTCTCTGGTATCTGAATTAAAGAAATGTATATATAAACGTTTACATTATATACAAATATATATAAAAGTGCACAACTTGTACGCGTTCATAGTTCACTAGATATCTACAGTAATGAAACATGTGACCTAGATTGTTATTTTGTAATGACTGCCTCGTACGATTAGCTTACATGCATATCAAAACATTTTATGATATAAGTGTCCTTGTATTTTATATAGGCAGTCCAGACACTATCTATATCATTGTCAATAGTTAATAAATATATCTGTATTCCACATTGTCAACGTCTTACTCAATCCCATAAAGATACTAGAAATTGATTTGGATATAATTTAATACACGAATGTATTCATACATGTATGTTTGTGTTTGAATTTTAAATACCATGTTGAGTTATCTAGGAACTGAAAAAGCGAAATAAAGCAAAACATGTCAAATCATAAATTGTGTTGATCAATGAATATTGTATCATTTTTATACATTATAATCAAGTCGAGATCAAAATATAGCAACATAAACACACCGTGTTACTGGCGTAAGTATCAAGGATCTGATTTTCCTATAACTTTAATTCGTTAAACGTTAGGGGAGACAATTCATCCCAGAGATGAGAGCGTATAACATCTACTTTGTCATGTACAACACTTATACGTTTTACAGTACATATACTCGTATGTCACTTATATTTTACACAATTCTTGCCTTTCAATCACACACTTCTATGTTAGTCATTATTTATATGTTACTCAGCACTAATATGTTGCTCATCACTAAAATGCTTCACAACACTTATATATGTTGCTCAGCACTTATATGTTACTCAGCACTAAAATGTTGCTCTGCACTTATAAACTACTCAGCACTTATAAGTCAGTACCAATAATTATGTTACTTAGAAATATGTTACTCAGCACTAATAAGATGTTCAGCACTTCACTTATATGTAACTCAGCACGAATAAGTTACTCAGCATAAAAACATGTTACTAACCACTTATTTATTATTCAGTACTAACAATTCACTTATTATTAATTGATATGTTTGTTATTCTACATTTTATCACTTATTATTAATTGATATGTTTGTTATTCTACATTTTATGTTACTATTCTCTACAAGATAATGAACTTTCTTATCAACAAAGTTTCTTATTTTGAAGTTTAATGCCTATTTGATCTTATACAGAAACTTTATATGTATATTGTATAGGTGTACTTATCTTCTTTATAAGTTATATATATACTTTATATGTATAATATAAACAAGTGTACTTATCCCCTATATTAAATCTTATACAGAAACTTTATATGTTTTATGTATATACGGAAATATTACATGCAACATAGGACTGGTGTACTTATCGGCTATTTTATGTTATACAGACACTGTACTTTTCTCCTATTCTTGTTTCTTATACAGAAATTTACTACATGTATGCATATTATATAGGAGTTCCTACCTCCTATCAATATATGAGAGAGAGATATACTTATCTCCTATTTTTATGTTTTACAGAAACTTTATGTTAATTGTATAGGTGGTTTTTTTATCTCCAATTTGTATCTTAAACAGAACTTTGTATGTGTATGCATTGCAAATATGTAATGTATATATTGTGTAATACATTTTATATATTTCATCAAGCACTTTGAAAATAAATATTACTCAAACGATCTTCATTGTTCTTTTTTTTCTGGGAGGTATAAACAAAAAATAGCTTTACCCTAGTAACATTTTGAGAAAAAATATTTTAACTTACCTTTAATAAGAAATGAATATTCAAAATAGATGTCTCCTTTTGATAATTAAAACTTTGTTGAAATAAATTAAATGAGCTCAAAACAACTGAATGATTGAAATAAATCAAAAGTTTAAATAAATACTGAGATTTTTAAACACTACTTACTTATTAAAATTATAATCTCCAATATAAACACAGGTTGCTATTGTTCATAAAATCTTCGGATTAGAAGATTTAAATCTTAAACGTTTTTTTATACCACTATATTTTCACTCAAGCATGAATTAAGATATATAAGACTCTCATATAACGCTTAAAGCTGACCCCTGTTTTTATTTATTACCTAGTGGACAAAGAGATGACCATTGAATATACACAAGGTATTAAATTGTTAAACTGCTTTAATACTTCTTAGTTAAAATATTTATTTATCTACCGATGGAGTAACAACAAAAAGTGTAAAGTTCACCAGCAAATCGCAATCTAATCCTGATTTTGTTGTAACAAGAATAAAATAACTTGCTAATTTTAATTGAATTGTTGTAGCGGCAAATTTGCACGGATCTTCTAAACAACTTTAGTATTTGTTTAGTTTTTATAACTCTTGCAGTATCCTATTTTCGCCGGACTATACAACCGGGAGATTTGATCCTACTATGTACATGTATATAACTATTCTGATTAATCACCGCATATTTCAATTACAGTTTATGTATTCGCATGTTCCTAGCATGAACATAACTTTACAGTATATGGTACAGCATAATCTTAGCATGAACTTAACTCTACAGTATATCGGACCGCATGTTCCAAGCATGAACTAATCTCTAAAGTATATGTAACCGTATGTCCCTAGCATGAACTCAACTCTGCAGTATCTGTAACTGCATACCCCTAGCATGAACTCAACTCTGCAGTATCTGTAACTGCATACCCCTAGTATGAACTCAACCCTGCAGTATATGTAACCGCATGTCCCTAGCATGAACTCAACCTTGCAGTTTAAGTAACCGCATGTTCCTAGCATGAACTCAACTCTGTAGTATATGTAACTGCATACCCCTAGCATGAACTCAACTCTGCAGTATATGTAACCGCATGTCCCTAGCATGAACTCAACTCTGCAGTATATGTAACCGCATACCCCTAGCATGAACTCAACTCTGCAGTATATGTAACCGCATGTCCCTAGCATGAACTCAACTCTGCAGTATATGTAACCGCATATCCCTAGCATGAACTCAACTCTGCAGTATATGTAACCGCATATCCCTAGCATGAACTCAACTCTGCAGTATATGTAACCGCATACCCCTAGCATGAACTCAACTCTGCAGTATATGTAACCGTATGTCCCTAGCATGAACTCAACTCTGCAGTATATGTAACCGCATATCCCTAGCATGAACTCAACTCTGCAGTATATGTAACCGCATGTCTCTAGCATGAACTCAAACTCTGCATTTATGTAACCGCATGTCCCTAGCATGAACTCAAGTCTGCAGTATATGTAACCGCATGTCCTTTGCAAGAACTCAACTCTGCAGTGTATGTAACCGCATACCCCTAGCATGAACTCAACTCTGCAGTATATGTAACCACATGTCCCTAGCATGAACTCAACTCTGCAGTATATGTAACCGCATGTCCCTAGCATGAACTCAACTCTGCAGTATATGTAACCGCATGTCCCTAGCATGAACTCAACTCTGCAGTATATGTAACCGCATGTCCCTAGCATGAACTAAAGTATGCAGTATATGTAACCGCATGTCCTTTGCAAGAACTCAACTCTGCAGTATATGTAACCGCATACCCCTAGCATGAACTCAACTCTGCAGTATATGTAACCACATGTCCCTAGCATGAACTCAACCTTGCAGTTTAAGTAACCGCATGTCCCTAGCAAGAACTCAACTCTATAGTATTTGTAACCGCATGTTCCTAGCATGAACTCAACTCTGCAGTATATGTAACCGCATGCCTGTAGCAAGAACTCAACTCTACAGTTTAAATAACTGCATGTTCCAAGCATGAACTAAATTCTGTAGTATATGTAACGGCATGTTTCTAGCATGAACTTAACCTGACAGTATATGTAACCATATATTCCTAGCGTGAAACTAAACTCTATAACATTTGTAACCTTATGTTTAGCATAATCTAAACTATACAGTATACATAACCTCATGTTCCTAGCATGAACTAAATTCTTCAGTATATGTACATGCTATGAGAGGCAAATAAGGAATAATCATATTAGGATATATTTAACTATATGATATAATTTATACCTTACTAAATTATATAAAATGCGGTAGGTACTTTATACAAGTTACACTGATAAATTTGAATACGGCCAATCAAGCTACCTGGTAGATCCGGCTTAAACATCTCGAGTAAGTTTGCAATAAAAAATTTACATGACAAGCAAAATAAGAATGTATTTCCATTTCATGTTTTATGTAAGTACTCGTATTTATTAATTTTCATACAAACAGTGCTTTTATTTCATTTCGTGAATTTAAAGAGACTTATACTTAAAACAAACTGTTAATAGTTCTGTACCACGACACTTATGGCTAAGAATATATATATTTCACTGATGTAATTGGATTGATAAAATAAAAACAAATATACCGCCGTTAACATGAAACATACATGTATTATGATAGTTTATTTCTATATTGCTATAAACATGTACAAATTGTATAAAATGTAATATAATTTTATTGTCAAAGTAACCATTTCCGTCGCCAGTATATACAATATCGTATAGTGATCGTAAACAACGTAAATCGTGTTATTTCTAAATTTCATTTCCTTGGGGGAACATCGATGTGTTATATATGTATGTCTTTTACATGCGCCTGTGTGAATGTATGAATCTGTGTATGAAAGACACGATTTAACTAATCCAAATAGATTCCAAAAATCATTACGGTTGCACTGATTGTTTGGTTTTGGTATGTTGCAGTGTTGTAGTTGTCGGTACTCTGTTCCCAAAGACACCTACTGGCTGTCTGCAGTCCTTGCGCGCACACCTCTGTAAGCAAAACTTGACATACGATTCTGTATCGCGTCTGGTTCAGTTCTTTCACTTTATATTTGATCTTTTCTGTGACAATTCTAGTTAGATGTCCTGCCCGTATATTATCGTATTTGGTATCACCTATTTCGGTCCGCAAGATGTCTAAAGCAATCTGTTCAATGTTAGAAATGGCAAAATGTTTTCCTGAATCTGGTTCAATTTTATATGTGTTTTCATAATTGACTGTAGGTTGTTTAACCGGTTCCGGGGTGTCCATGGATAATTCACGGAGTCTGAATAATCCAGTGATTCCTGTTACATCATCCTGCATACTGATTGTCTTATCCATTGCAGTTTTACTACCAAAATAGGATGAACATGATGTTATACGTGCTTGGTTTTCAGACAACATGTTTGGAACTGTCTTCACAATAGTGTTGGATATTTCTATGTTAGTGTTTTCCAAAGGACATACATTTTTCGAATTATCCTTTACGTCGTTAGACTGTGATAACTGTGTTAGTGAACCGGTTGATACATCATATACATGTATATTGTCCACACTTGACAAAGATTGTTTGTAGTGTTTTAACATATTGATATCTGGACAGGTTCTTGGTCGACATTTATCCGTGTTAACCTATAACGAAAATATAAACATTCTTGTGTAATACATGCATACGTTACATACATAAACTCATACCTACATATACATTCAACAATTCCTGTGTCTATTTAACTAGAATAAAAACATCTCATTAACTTTCCACTTTTTTTATAACAATATAACTATTATTTACAACTCGCGGTATAAACTGTACTGACGAAACCAACAATTTCAGTCAAGTGATGATTATGGAAAGCCATGGCTGTCTGATATTGCTCTTTTTAAACTATCTTCATCTTTGAATCATTTTCTGTTAACCATTCGTACATGTGTATACTTATTGCATTCAACATGGACCAGTGGTTATACAAGAAAAGCATTGATGCAAAACATCAAAGGGCGTCCAAGCAAGAAATGCAGCAAGTGAAGATGAACTAGTAGACATATGATGACAAGATATTCTTATAAACTACCAGAAATGTAGATCACTTATGAATGAGCGGACGGAAGACATTGTTCATTATGAACTTTGATTGGCATGCTAGAGATTAGAATATTACTTGTTATTTCTTTATGATCGTGGTTATTTATAGCAACGGATATACATGTATACAATCATTTATAATCCATATGTGTAACGCATGATCATGATCAACACGTACCACACCTTTGTAATTGTCCCTTATTATGTTATCGCTATTAGCGAAGACCCCCTCTTAAGGTATCTGTTCACACTTAGTAAAAATATGACACTGGTTATATTACCATGTTGATAATGTTGAGCATAATTGTTTATTATACAATAATTGTAATATCTATTAATTTTAATAAAAAAAATACAAATTTTATGAATATTGTTTTCTTTTCTTTTTTGTATTTTAATACTGAGTTGTTACTACTCTTCTTTTATTAAAATTGTAAAATAAATTTTAAGAATTCAATTGACATATTGACCGACGATTATAAGTCAAAACTTAACTGGAAAAAGTCAGTAAATTATGGTTTATCTTTCAATAAATAACATTGTTTATTCTTAAACCATGTACATGTACATTTGTATTTTTCTTTATCATTTTTTAATTATCAATCAATTGAATAATTCATAAAATCTAATTTGTAACTTCGAATAATTCCTCGGCATCTTTACTAAACACGGATAACAAATTAAATAAAAAATTTCAAAGCTGATAATGTCACATTCATACCATAAAAATGTACCCTTTTCTCAATTATTGTACATATTTATTGTTAGATAAAATGAAACATGCTATTGTTGTTTTTTTTTTAATTGTAACGATATCAAACATCTACTCCAAAACCGGGAGAGACCGGACAATAAACGTGTGGTACTATTCGCCGGTGGTCAAAATAGACCGGGAGAGACCGGGAATTACCGATAGGAGTGATAAATAGATATATCTAAAAATAGATTTTCGGAATATTTAGGTCATCAACTGACATGTACAACAATAACATACCATGATAACACACTGTGTACTACAAAATAATAAATAAAAAACCCCGAAGAGCGCGATTTATTGACGGAAAAGGTTATTTCATTTGAAAATGTTTGCATTGCGAAATTCTCCAGTTCGCTATTCATTGTAACATATCGCGACATTTCATTCTTAATTAATAATCAAGCACCCTCATACCGATCGGAATGATCGGCTTTTATTATGACCGACTAAAAGGCTCGAGAAGTTGCTGTCGCCCTTTCACAAAATCTGATTTCATTCCATGAGGGCTCCGCGCTTCGGCGCGGACGCCAATAAGCGATATTGTTTGAAGTTATACTGATGTAACGAATGAGCCGCGTCACGACAAAACCAACATAGTGGGTTTGCGACCAGCATGGATTCAGACCAGCCTGCGCATCCGCGCAGTCTGATCAGGACCCATGCTGTTCGCTTACAAACCTTATTACAAGTAGAGAAACTGAAAGCAAACAACATGAATCCGGATCAGACTGCGCGGATGCGCAGGCTGGTCTGGATCCATGCTGGTCGCAAACCCACTATGTTGGTTTTGTCGTGACGTGGCTCAAATACACTTACCTTTGCTTGTTTATCAGACGACACTGTACCGGACATTGTTGAGGCAAGTTCTGCAAGACATTACAGATATACAACATGAAAATAACCTTATACAGCATCACATAATATAAATGATACGAGTCATAGCACTAATGTGGATGTCGCAATAACCATGGCAATTTAAAGTATATAATAAAATAAAAGCTATATGTAATGAAATATTTTTATTAAATTCAAAACGTTATAATTATCTTGTTTCTCGGTACTCGAACTAACAAACATGAAAACGGTATACGTAGACAAAAAATAAATAGATCGATACTGCTTTCTTTAGAAATGCTTTTAATTCTAATGCTCAAAACCCTTTCATTTTTTCTTTAACCATTTAGCAATAAGTTCGTACATTCTATCAAAAAGAAATATACAAACATTTGTAATTCTTTCATACATGAATTATTTCGAACTATTGTTTCTAATTGTTTTAATTCAAACAAAACATGTAAGCTGTGCAGACATCACAGGTCAACACATTAAGTTTCAAAAACATTATTCGTTTCCTTCGGGTAACAATGATGGAAATTACATTCGGTCTGGCGAGATATCAATTTTCCACCGCTGCTCGTAGAAAAATACATAGCCTCAGAAAGCTACTACAACATAATATTCCGTATGTACTTCTAATTTGTGTTTCAAACTGCATTTTGATGATAAAAATACCGTGACCGTCATTGCAATTAACTATTTTAGACAAGCATATTAAAGACATGCGAGAACAGTGCATGTCCGCTTGATTTTATCCTGAATGGCATGTTTTCTTCTCCGTTAGTGCACACCTTTACGTGCAGTTTTTATGCAAACATAATATGTGTTAATAATCTACAGGTAAAGATTGAGCGCAATGTGTAGATGTATCTGTAACTTAAAATGTCAGAGTTCAAAATAAACTTTATAATAGTCTTTTTTGTTGATAAATTCAACTGTAACACCCACAAACTCGACCTATCAATCGTTTGAAAATAGTTATCATTCACCAAAGGTCATTTTTCGTTTGAGGCCTGTCTATGTTATATTTTTGCACAAAATAATATTTTAGTTAATCAAGAAATTGAATATTTATTAAAGACAACATTAAGAGTGATGTATTGTACAACAAATTATCGTCATTTATAACATTTCTGCTATTTTGAACACATTTCATACAAATGCAATCCAAATGTGCAGAAACGAATTCAAATAATGAAACCCGTGTACATATCATGGTCATGATATAGTTTAACACTTCAAGCCTAGTTCAATGTGTATCACGTGATGGAATTCCTACGCGAAATAGTGCTTATAAGTTTACGTAATACAAAATACAACTAAAAAGAAATCTAGATTTTTTTTCGTAAATGAATAAAACAGATATTTTTTATCATGAAATCATACATATATCTTGTAACGTAGATAGTTACGAGAATATGCGTTCAAGTGTCGCGTTGAGTTATTGGTCCTTTAATGGAATACTATTTTGATAGTTATATTATTATTAATCACATGTAATAAATCGTTTGAAGTGTTTATCCGCCTCCAATATGCAACAATAAAACGTTGTTTTTTACTTTTATTTATTACGCTTTTTTACAAAATTTAAGAGATGTTATGATAAGATTTGCATGTAGCACATGGGAGTGACATGACATTGTTATATGTATATATACTGTTCAAATATTAACAATAATAATATCACAAACATTTAAAGATAAAAAAGGGAAACTAACCTTCAAATTGCATTTCATATATCCCTAAAAAACTGTTAACCTTCCAATGTCAGATCTGTTTGTGTATATTTTAAATTTACTATATTAAGAAATAATCGCCATATAAAGAAGCCTGAAGAAAAATTGCGCAATGTTACCTAGTATTTAAGAGTATGGAGCAAAATTCTGTCAATTATAAATGTATATACATGAAGATTAAAATTAAATCTTATTATATTTACAATTGTAACATATTATATAACATATTCCTATTGTTATATATTATTTTGTTGTTATTGTTGTTGGTGCTAATTGTAATAATGATAAGCAACAAAGTATCATAACTGTTACCTGACATAATCATATAAACCCTGGTTAAAATATAAGTGGTGTCAAATCACTAATATAGCTTTCGTTTAATATGAAATTATGCACTTTTGTCATTGACATTAACTTATTCTAAATGGAATTATTTCCAGTCCCAACATGTCAAATCAAAGCACAGAAGGCGCTGAATTTGTCTGGGTCTCAGAATGTCAGAAAGGTGAAGGTTGTGAGATTATAAACCAATTTGTTTGTATAGTGTCACCAATGCTGTTTCCATTGTTATAACTATAGTTAATTGGCTATAAGACTAATTAAATACTGATATTCAATTCAATGTTTATTTGGCTTAAACAATGCTTGTAAAAATATTGTATTATAGATGATGTACTATGTACAAATCTTAATAAAGTATCTGTTCTGTTCTGTTCTGTTCTGTTCTGTTCTGTTCTGTTCTTAAACAATTAAAAAAAAAAAGAAAAAAAAAAAACAAAAAAAACCCATAAATTGCCTGAACTGGGATTTGAACTCCAAGTCTCCTGCTTCCAAAGCGAACGTGTAAACCCCTCGACCATGGGGATTTATAAGATAACAGCCTGAAAAATACCATTAATTTCGATATATTTTGTTCACGATAAACCTGAAGTAAATAATCATGAAGCTTAATATAAGCATGTATATCTATAAGAATAACACAATATTAGAAATCTTCGACCAATCGGGAACTATTGTTTCTTTAGGAAAATTAATGCGCCTGTCATTTGACAATCTTTTCGCAGTGATCTCCCCTTAATTTTTCGGCGTTAATTTACATATGAAGGGAAGTAACCGCTTCGAGGAGTTTGGACTACTTTCGGCATTTGCAAATAAGAACATCAGGGTCTGAAATTTTGCTACCATTATTTGTTTGGTCTGACGACCCAAACAAATAAGAAAAACTGTGGAGTCCCTTAATCTACAACCTCTTTGTAAAAAAAAAATAGCAAGCAGCAAAGTGTTTGACGCGAGCTTTGTAAAATCTGCTCAACGGTTAAGCATTTTTCAGCAATCCGATAATAAGGACTATTATACCTTACATGAATATGTTCCTTCTTTGTTTAATCAAGTGTCTACGTTTTACAAGAATTTTTGTGATGAGAACAATATGATTTCCAACTTTTACCATTATGTTCAAGGAAAGTGCGGTATAATACTGCATAAAAATAGCACACAGAACTTCACCTCATAGCATTATATAGTGACCTCAAAGTCAACCCCAAACATTTAACGGACCCCAGCCGTTACATGTTTGCGAACTAACTGATTGGTTACTATAACGATATGAAGCTCTCAGTACTGTGTACTATTCCTTATTATTAAAGCAGGAGCACATTTGTGCCATGCCGTGCCATGTCTTATTTCTCCACAGTCTGTTTGAGAGATTAAAATGACTTTTATTTGATAAGAAGAAGAGGTATCTAATTGTGTCATATGACACTTTTATAACAAAATCATGGCGGATGTAAAACTTTCTATTATATGGTTAAAGTGTAATAAAGTTTGAGTATATTACGTATACCTCTTGAATTTAACCGGGTCATGTTTATTTGTAATGTTTATTGTATTTATGTTGTTGTAAATTTAAGATCGCCACTTTAATCATAAAATACAACATGATAAAAATCAGCTGATTGCGGGAAACAAAGACTAGGTATCAGACACGGGAAACCAGAACAAATATTGATAGGTCAACAACAGGTGACACTAGCATGTCCTCCTTCTCTCTACAGATTCTTTTAAAGGTTTAGACCTCTTTTTGCAAAAAGATTGAACTCATATATACAACTTTTTAAGATGTAGAAAACTCCAGCGAAATGAAGTCGACAGTTATTCATGGCAAAATATCCAACCGTGGGCTTAACGGGAGTGGTGGCCTAGTAGTTAAGGTGTCTGCCTCTCCACCCTAATCGGGTCACGACCATGTTTCTTCATATGACACCAGCTGGTACTGGTTGGTTCCAGGAAGCGGGCTCGAAAGTGATTAATAAAAGTTGCAATAAATTGTTTCGCAATCGAGCTTAAATAAATATGAGCCGCGCCATGACAAAACCAGCGTACTGCGTTTGCGACCAGCGTTGATCCAGACCAGCCTGCGCATCCGCGCAGTCTGATCAGGATCCATGCTGTTCGCTATCAGTTTCTCTACTTGTTATAGAGTTGGGAAGCGAACAGCATGGATCCTGATCAGTCTGCGCGGATGCGCAGACTGGTCTGGATCCTTGCTGGTCGCAAACGCGCTATGTTGGTTTTGTCGTGACGCGGCTCATGTATAAATCCAACCATGGGCTTACGACGTCATTTTAAGTCCAGATCCAACATAGTTTTTCGAAATGCTAAAATGATTGCATGGACGTTTGCATAAAATCTTTATAAAGCATGCTTATAATGATAATTATAATGATAATAAATAATAACTACGATGATAATGCAAAAACAATGTAATGAATCAAAACAGAACAAAACAAAATGATTCATAAATATGCCATGAATTAATTTATTTTTTTTTTTGAGAAAAGCTAAAGATATTGCATAACACGCATATTTCCGACATTTCTCTTATTTTGAAATATGCAAATCCAGTGCTTAAAAGTAGCCCGTTCGTTTCCTTTTTAACTTTGATGTAATTTTAACATGTTTTTTTTAATGAACGAAGCAAGTACTATCATGTTATGAAACATTCATGTTTAAAGGCCATATATTCTTCAAATCTGTAATATAATACGGTATGTTATATTATTTACAGCAACATTTACGTACAAAAATCACATTCACATTAAATGGACTAAAGGTACTGTTGATTCTGAATTATTTCATTATTCATACGTCTGTGATTACAACGGTTACTATTGCCTCGTTTTAAAATATTCTTCGGTTTTGAAGTAGTTTATTACGCATCACGTGAATTTTAAGTCGGAAGAATACTAGGTGTATACCTTTAAAACGCAGCATTTTATACAAGTATTGTATACTTAATCATTCATTTTCATTTTTGTGGTCAGACTATTTAACTTACGTGACAATTCTTCACGTGCTGTTAATCTGGTTATTGAAGTGACTAATCTACTGGGGGTATAATATAGTTCAGTTCGCTTAATAAACTATCATACACAGGTACTATAACATCCTCTACAAAGATTGCACATACAGTTTGAAGGCCTCAAATATGAAGTTAACAATACAGATATTGGAACTTTTACTTACATATATCGGTAGGTACATTATTTAAAAAAAAACAGGGAGAAATAATTACAAATTAAGGGAGTACAAATGAAAAGAGACTATCTAACGGTTGATGGTCATAGGGCTTTTTCATTAATTAGCCGTCTCGATTTAAGCTGTATAGTTTTCATAGAAGAATTATCTTTAATTTTCATTTTAGTTGAAGGATCTTTGTTTAAAATTTATTTTAAATGTATTTCGAAGCAATACAATATGTTAAATAATTATTCTAAATAAAGGAATATGGACTAGTATGTGATTTATAATAGATTTATTATGATCTAAATGGATATCTGCGCCGCATATTGAAAATTATGGTAAAAGAAATAAGTTTGTGTAAAAATTTAACATATGTTTTGTGACGTGTAAAAATTTCTGTATCTTGTTTTGTTTCTAAAATCGTTTTATATTTAAAACCGCAATAAAATCCTTTTATTTTTTTATTTAATTGAAAAAATGTTTAACTTTTTACTAGTAAAATCAAACAATAAATCGATCAAATATTTAATGTCGATGTTTAAAGTTCTCTCAGATTTATTTCTTTATTTATTTCATATTATTCAATTTAGAAAACTTAGAAATTTCTTAAAGTAATGTGCTGCTAACTTTTGACAACAAGAATGAAAGATAAATTCTTAATAAAAGCGGATATTTTTCAACACATATCAAACAGCATAAAATATGTCCAGTAAAAATCGCCTCATTGTTTCATTTAGGTATATTAACAAAATTCGTATTTCTAGCAAACATATTGGCATAAAAAATTTCATTTAATTTTAAACCTAGTAATCATCTTTAAGTTATAAGTGACATACGAAATTCGAATTCAATTATAAACTCTAAGAAACAATTAAAATACAATAAAAAATCAATTGAAATGTAATCAAAAGTTTGTTCAGGATCAAAGTTGCGTTTAAGATACGTGGGTGATCTCTTATCACAATCTTTAATGTTTCGCTTATAGTACAGTTGGTACAAGGATAATAAGATATTGCAATAGATGTGAAATGTTTAAGTACATCCTTTTATTACCTTATAAATTTATGTTTTATATCATGTCAGAAATTTCTGAAATGCATGTAATCCGATGTTGCTATACGTGCGTTTTTTGTTTTTGTTTTTAAATATTTTGATATACGTTTTGCTAAAAATAATTGTTTTTCTTGTACAGTATTTAAACACCAGGCTTAGTTTAGATAAACTGTTACATTTTAATGTAATTTCTCATGATCATCTCTTATAATTCCATATTGAATGGCATTACTACTATTTATTTTGTTTTAAAAGATATATATTTAGAAATGTATGTTTTATCATGTATATACAATGATACGATGTATATAAAGATACTACCGGTACATTTGAATTAACAGTTAGAATAACTCTAAATGGCATGTAAGCATTGCAAAAATAATGAGGGGTAAGATATACAGTTCATTGTCTGGCGTAAATTGTGGCAATCTTGATGACCGGATCATTTATTTACTATAAATGTACTACTACGATTATCAGGTCAATTGTTTAAAACCACCATAAATCAGATTGACCCAGTTTTAGGAAGTATTATTTGCAAAGTACTTGAAAGTAGTTCTAGTTATTAACGTTATAAAGGCAGAATCCGAACTTACGATCATACGATATATATGTTGTTTTGTGTTTTGTTTGTTTCCACATAGGATGCTAATATTTTTCTATATATATAAAGATTACGCAAAGTATGTACTCACTCTGCAAAAAAGCAAGGTAGAAACTGGATCTGAGAGTTGGGGGAGAGTGTGAGGGAGAAGTAACTTAATAATCTATTTTTCTTATTTCTTTGTATATGAAACTTTGAAAAGAGTACATAGCTTATCACCAGATATGTCTATAATTTAATGAATACAGAAATAAAAAGTCCTATGAATTATGACTTATTCTATAACATACATATACCATCTTCATTTAACATATCTTGCAAACCAGAAACCATTGCAATTCTGCAAGTTTACGAAGAATAATTAAAAATTTTGGACTGTGGATTTTATCAAAAGTTAATTTATCTTTCAGTGGTATCAGAATGCCTTGTTGAATCACGTGATCCCGGGAATCACCTTTCATTGGTTCATCTTCTACGATCAAAGCGTTTTGATTTTACCATGTTCAGTTGTACCGACTGCAGACCAGTGATGGAGTGTCACACAGATTCATACTGCAAGTATAAAAAGGGAGACAGATATTCATGTCAGTTTAGATGTTGCTCGTTCCGGTGTGTTATTGCTGGTTCTAGTGGCCATCGTGCTAACAACATCTTCCAGGATGACGAGCCACGTGATGAAACTGGAAATGTCAGTGTTGATAAACAACAATATCAGGAGTTTACGACAACAGATGAATTGAACATTGAAGACAATATGAATGTCACAGCAACCGCTTTACCCTCTGTAAGTTTAGATATAAAGGCAGAATCGACAACTCGGGTAGTAACTGACAACACAGTAAATAACAAAAGCAGGGATGAGGATGGCTGACTTTGAAGCAATGATTGTCAATACTAGCCCTTCTATTTCAATACATTTTGATTGATAATAGATATATAACAGGAAAATGCTAATCCTAAAATTAGTTTTCTTCCAATCCGCTTCCTGAACAAAGAAGAACAATTTCCAAAATTAAATTGTTGGAGATTTTTGCTGTGCATTGCTTGTTTGTATATAACATAGAGACGATGCAGATTGTTATTGAGTCGAAGAACAAATTGACCTTAATTTTAACAAAATGCTTTTAAAATGTGTAACGTTTATGAACTTTCGTCTTTTTACCGTCTAGAGCTTGAACTAAAATGGACGTTCTTACTTAAACAAACTGGTATTTTGAATAGAGCTGAATAGATTTATTCACCTTTCACAACAATACAGTTAAATACTTGAATTTTTATAAAATCAATAATGAAAATGAATTTGTATGTGTTACAACCCATTTCTAACCGTAAGGAAATTTCTCCTGAACACTCAGATATGTAAGAAGTCTGTACATATGCATTAATAGAAACATACTGGCATACACTTGTCTATCTCTTACAACGTTTAGGGATACTATTGTTGTTACTGTTGCTTACATACTTTATCACGTTATTTAGAATGTAGTAAATAAAATTGTTTGCATTATAAAGTGAGAATTCTATCATTTCGACCATCCTGGACTTGTTATATGCTGACAAATATTAACTTATATATATATATATATATAAATACATACAATAAATATACCAATATTTTGTTTGTTTTTTATCATAAAGGCGAAACATATCGAAGTATATCTAGTTACATTGACACGTATGATCGAGAAAAATATGAGAGTTTTACCAGGAAATATATTCATTTTTGGATGCATTTGCGTCTTGGCATCCTGAAAAATTGCAAAACCAACGTGAGTAATATATTATGCTTCTGAATCTTAGTAAGGTTATACAACGTAGCCTTTATCATGTTAATCTAAAATATTTCGTAAGATGATTCTAAAGGGACTCCACTGAGTTCTTTTTTTTGACATGACGAGACTGGAAATGTTTTTTCCGAGATTTATGTTACATTTGATGTAGGTCTAGACCAATATCTTCTGTGCAACATTTCACATCATTCGCTCACTCCGTTATGAAAACGTAAAAATCCAAAATTGAAAAGCGTTGCTACGCTTTCACACAAATCGGGCTAAATCAGCACACAATACGAATTTGAATTTATTCTGATTATATTTTTAAAAGCATGTTTATGTTTATAATGTTTTAGCCTTTTGGACTTCACTGGAGTTCCTTTAAAAAAAGCAATATCCATTTAACACTGCCAAGTTCATTGAACTGTTGAACATGTAAAGTCTTTGGTACATGAAATACAACATACTCCTAATGAGTAAAAAGGTCAATAACAAGTAAAACAAACGTATTACATCCAAAGAACCGGTGGGAATATTTCAACTTTATGAATTTCCGATTTCATCTTCGTGAATTCACGATTTTATTTTTGTGAATTCACGTTTTCAACCAATTTACGATTTTAACTTCATAAATTCATTTTTCAACTTCACGGTTTTAACTTCACAAATTCAAGATTTCATCTTCTCCAAATTGTAATCGTGAATTCACGAAGTTCAAAGGTTGAAGTCATGAAGTTAAATTCGTGAAGCTGAAATCTTGAATCCGTGGAGTTGAAGAGATGTATTCATGAAGTTGAAACCGAGATTTTAAGAAGTTAAAATGTCACCACCGGCCTTTCGTATACCACGGTGAATATTTTTTGTGGTTTTTATACTGTTTGGAAATTGGAATTTTATATTTCTGTACAACTATTTTAATTAGGTTAAGGGCAAAAACCAAAGCTATGTGCGCAGCTTTCATATATGATATATTTGAGCCGCGTCACGACAAAACAAACATAGTGCGTTTGCGACCAGCATGGATCCAGACCAGCCTGCGCATCCTTGTAATAGGATTGGAAAGCGAACAGCATGGATCCTGATCAGACTGTGCGGATGCGCAGGCTGGTCTGGATCCATGCTGGTCGCAAACCCATTATGTTGGTTTTGTCGTGACGCGGCTCATTTGTCATACTCTGCAATAAATGGCAAGTATCTCGAAACATGTTACTGTCTTTTGTCTAAAGTACAATGCATACAATTTCTCAATATGAGAATCAATGCAATCTAAATATTAGCTTTAAATTAACCGTATTCCTCATCATCACCTTTAAATTTCAATAGAAACAAGTTGAAGAAAATGATCATGTCCCAAAAATTGTTTACAATGCTCCTAACTGTTTTAAATGAATCGATCCTGTAGATGTGATCGAAAGGCCGTTTTTTTTTTGCCCTGAAGAATTGTGAACAATGGCTTTCACTTAAGGACTTATATCCACGAGGACATCTGTCCTACATTATTTAATTTATGAATCATTTGCTTGCTCTTTGTTTTTCATTGACGAAAACTGTTTACATTAAAATAAGGTCAACAGACCGGGTAAATCATAAAGTTCTAATGAGTTTATCATATTTTATAACATCTATCATTGTTTATATTCTACTTGAAAATACCGTTCAGTGTCACAGTTTATAACTTTGAAATTTATATAACGTTCAAATATAAAAGTGCGTAGTTTTTGCTTGAGGACAAGTATAAGTTTTCATGCGATCATTAAAATATAATTAAATCATGATCCTTGTTAATGAAATATATATTCATTATCATATAAAATGACAGTAAACAGCAGGATATTTGTAATGTTATTTCGTTAAAAGAGATGATACAATTTAATTCCTTTACACCAGCTCTTAGCATAATATAAAGTGTATGCCCTCAGCAGTAAGATTAGAAAGCCGGCAATAAGTTTCCTCAAGAACATTGAAACAAAATTAGAACTAGCACCTTTGTAATTTAAGCAACATATACTAACATTATAGGGACGAGTATTTTTTATATTACAAAGAATTTATACAATCGGAATACATTTAGAATTATTGTTGTTAGAAAATCTAAGTATAACTAATTTTCTACTGTATACGAGATAGGTCTTTATATCTTAAGATTTGCAATGGGAATCAGAATTGCGTCGTACAAAACAAAAGCTGTCATTTAAAAAAAGCTGGTCGTCAACTTTTTGAAAATTGTCCCGTTACTGTGTAACTACCTTGATAAAGTATGATGTTTCAGAGTTTTCAACATTTATCATTGAATCTTAATTTTTGTCCAGGGTATTACATATTGTGTTTGATTTTCTTAAATAAATTTTCGTCAGAAATAAGTATATCCATTTATATATAATACCGGTAAATATCCTCTTATTCTATAATTAAAACATCAGATATTAGAAAAAAAATCTGTTTTTTGTTCTTATACTGTTTGTCTTAATTACTCAATATCACATAGATTTATAAAAACAAAACTGTAGGTTTTAGGTGAACGTAATTCTTCATTGAACCATTGTTTAATTTGAACTTCTTTTTTTCTGGCCTTTCTCAAGAAATCAGGTTAAAAACTAGATACTAAACTTTGTTGGCAACCTGTTTATATAGATGATAACTCACAACAACATATTAAACAATTCTAGTACAAATTACGTCAATTATGTATCGTTTCAAACCAAAAGAACACGTATCTTAAATCATGTGGCCTTACATAACACATTTCATTTGTTTCTCTATCTCCTGTTTGATTTCTCGCTGTTCTAAACTTATGGTATTTCCACCTTGTTTAATTCACATATACGTACGTACATGTATTTCGAAGATTAAAAGATTTAATATGTCTGTTCAGTATGAAATAAACTACATGCACAATCAACCAAAACGTTTGTCTGAGTCCATTAATCATTCACCATAGAGTGTGTTCACAAATAATAAGACAAATTAAACAGTGGCTGGGCATAGGTATTTTTGGACCGTCACGTACAATACATATGTATTTTTTTATCGAGAACAAGCCTTTTTCCTTGAGAATATTATTGTTTCTTGAAAACAATGTATACGAAGTTCTAGTTTTAGCTCTGAAAGCGACTTCAGTCTGAAAGAGCGTCAGTAGAATCAGACGACAAATACGACATGTCTGTCTCGCTGTCTGTGTCTGCATCATTCCTAGAATAATGATCTTGTTTACTAGCATCAGAATCATTTGATGTAGAGTATTCATAAACGGTGTTACCCTGCATGGCCCTTTCATCGCCTAGTACTGTCTGTAAATATTTTATATAACGTATGGCACCACGGAGAGTCTCAACTTTGCTTATTCGTTTGTTTTTATTTTTGATGGGTAAATGTTCTTTAAGTCTAATATATCCATCGTTTACACATCTTACTCGTTCCCTTTCGCGCTCATTTCGTCGTCTGATACATGTAGGATCAAATAGACTTGACCCGAACGGTGCCGGAAGTGGAATCATACAGAACGGTGAAAAGGGATCCGGTTTTAAAGTTGTATTAATATTGTACTTTATGTCGTCAGTGTTTCTGGTTATACATGAGTCTCGAGTCTGGTTACAGTTTAATGTTTGTTTATCATCACGTGGTATTCCAAGTTCTTTGCACGAGGGAGAAGAAAATTTCCCCGCAACAATGTATTCACATTGTTCTGAATCTTCATCCAGAAACATTTCTGCTCCCCTGAAAAAATATTATCAAAACGTTGGCATATTCTTTTTCAATTATCAACTTTTGTTTATAGAAATAAATAATGAATTGATAGAAAAGGGAACCAAAGTACATGCAATACATTAAAAAGAATGTCAGCATTTTCACATTTCATATTAAACATTTAAATATTCATGCATCTATTGTCTTTAATGACCATATATTCATTTTTATCAATAATAATTATATTTAAATATTTGAACATATAACAAGTTAGACTGCTTAAAAAATGCCGTTTCTTACCTGACTTTTATGGTTAGTCTCCAGTTATCCACGGATATAAAGACGTTTGTAACACTAACGCTTCTTTTATAATTACTTTAACGTCATGGATTCAACATCTGGACTTTAATTAAACAAGGGAGAATTAATTCCATCAATCATTTTTTTAAGGAACACTTCTAAAATAAATTAGTCCTTCATTTTCAGTCTCGACTCGTGGCAGATAATCGTATTAGACGTCATTAGAAGAGAAATACATTAATGATAAAACGTATTTAATCTTGTCAAATTCCTTATACAAATAAAATGGTTTTGGCGACCATTTACAGTTAGGCGCTGAAAGCTTCTTTAACGGAAAACTTGTAACATAATGCGGAAAATGCTCTTAGTGAAACGAAAATCTGAAAATACCTAATTGGAGACAGAAAAAAATAATTGGCAGATTAAAAAATGCAGTCGACACTAAAAGATATAACGAAAAAATATATAAGAATATTACCAAACAATTTTTGTACATGAGATACAAATACGTGTTCTGGTTAGAGTAATGTTGGCATTTATTAAACACATTATATTAAACACATTATACAACCGAAATATTTTCTGCTTAAACATGTAATTTTTTGAAAATCCGTACCGTTTGCTGAAAAATGTAAATACTGGTAAAACAGGTAAATATTGCTAAAACTGGAAAATTTTGCATTATTTATATACGTATACTTTAAAAAATCAGTAACACAATTGCAAATCAGCAAATGCTTGAATAAAACGTTAGTACCAATGATTGTACATATATCCGTATTTAATGGGGGATATAGACTGTTTTAATCATAGATAAGTAGTTTACTGTAATAAATAAAAAAATATATTTTATGAGATTCTTTTTGCAGTTACTTTACATAATGTCTCTCAACGGATTCAGTCTAAAAAAAATAAAGTTGGTTATTATATACGGAAACGTATACTGACCCCCCTTATATGTGTTGCTTTTTAGTTGATGTTTTTATCATTTTATTTGTCGGCAAATATTTATAAAAATAATCAATAATGGTCATTAAATAACTGTTAAGAAAAGTAACAGGCTATGTTCAAGGAAATTTATATTTGACATGATATTTATATTTCGTATTTGTTAGTTTTATTTAAACCGATACAAATAATTGTGTGTTTACAAGACTTTAAATATTTCGCACAATAGATAACTCTTCGTGATGATACAAATTATTAAGGTAGCACACCACAGTAATGTAAGCCACAGCTTCGAATGGCCAGGGAGGATTTCTTGGATATAGTGAATATTGTGGATTTAAATGACTGGTTGTCTTTAAAATGCATTTTCAGCATAAAATTTGTTTTTGTGACATCTAATATGATCATTGGCAAATTCGAAAACATGGCCAGAAATCACATGCTGTTGATTATGAATGTCAAGGCCGCCATTTTTTGTAAACATTGCATTTATACAGCATGCACGGTAAAAAGAAGTCATTTTACAGGGGGGTACAAACTTTTAGCAGTAGCAAAAAATCTACCTGGTTGAGGACTAGTTTCTTTGTGATATTTTGCATGTATAGGGAGTTGCTAAAGCAGAGACGGTGTTCCTTTAGCCTGTATATTTGCAGATATTTTTTGCCAGAGGGTCTAAATGTGTTGTTTTGGGTCTCGGGCCACTGTAGATTTTGGGCTTCAACGGAATGAATTGCAAATTTTTTGACTGCCTGCCTATTGCAGATGGGATAATTTCTTTGTAGATTTGCAATCTTATGTCATATATGTTCTCAACAAAATGTGTTTTCTTTTTCCAGGTTGTGTAGTTTGGTATCAGAATTATTAGACGTATTGCTTGTAGGACATTGACGGCAGGAACTTGAAATTAACTGTGGAGTGCTACCTAATTCCTTTCCGCGCGAGTAGTGTAGTGAGGAGAATTGAAGAAAGTGGAAAAGGTTTTACAGGTATTTTATTCTTTTTATATGCCCGAAAGAATTTCGGACATATTATGTTATACCCCCTGGTGTCCGTCCGTCTGTCCGTCCGTCCGTCTGTCCGTCCGTCCGTTAGCAATTTGGTTTCCGTAGCATAACATAAGTTCCATTTGGCCCACAATATTCAAACTTCATAGGACGATTGTCCATATTGGGTAGAAGACTCCTATTGATTTTGGGGTCATAAAGTCAAAGGTCAAGGTCATTATGACCTTAAAACTGAAAACGTTAGCAATTTGGTTTCCGGAGCATAACTTAAGTTCCTTTTGGCCAGTTCCATTTAGCCCACACTATTCAAACTTCATAGGATGATTGTCCATATTGGGTAGAAGACCCCTATTGATTTTGGGGTCACAAGGTCAAGGTCACTATTACCTTAAAACTGAAAACAGTTTTCAGAATATAACTAAAGTATCATTTGGCCTACTGTGTTTAAACTTCATAGTATGATCGTCCATATTGGGTAAAAGACCCCTAATGATTTTGATGTCACAAGGTCAAAGGTCAAGGTCACTTTTACCTTAGAATTGAAAACAGTTTCTGGGGCATAACTTAAAGTTCCATTTGGACCACAATATTGAAACTTCAAGGAGGATTGTTATTTGAAGGAGGTAATACTTTATTTTAGTCCCATGTCTTACAAATGCTTCATCTTTACTAAAAAAACACTTTCAGGCATATAATGCTCCGCATAGCGGTGCTCTTGATTCATTATGTCATAGTTACATCATATATAAGCAGAATGAAAACTGTAAAACTGTTTTTTCAAAACGTTTTTTAACAATATCTAAAAATATGTATTATGATATCCTATATACAATCACGGAAAGGGGTCGTTTTCGAGTAATCTTTCTGTTAAAGGGCAGAGTCTCACACACCACATTTATACAATTGGTAGAGGATAAAGAGACTGACAATGTCAATTCTTTAATGATGAGTATTTGAAGAAATGGCAAAGATAAGGAAATTGAAACAAAGTACTTTTCACTAATTACTAAAATGTTGTATATTCGGATGACAGGAAATCAGCTGCATAAAAAGCAGAAAAAGAAGACAATATGATTATTTGATTTTGTAATAAGCAGGTTTTAAAACAAGCTCAATGATTCCCATTTCTCCTCTTTATATGTTTTTGATACTCTTAAAATATGTCAAATTTCCTGTAGGCTTTTCTTCATTTATTGAATTTGCCTTTCGGAGAGCAACGTAAGTATTATCATGTTATTTATGCATTATTGATTAATTTAATTTCAATAAATTTCCTTTCAGGTGCCCTTCAGTACTGACAGTTCAAGATGTCCCATCTGTGACAACAGGGAAAGGGGATACTTGTATATCACGTGGTCAAATTCTATGCAAATTATGTGATAAAACACAAAAATCTAGTGGAAATAATCTGTGATAGTGCCCGGCCGGCCGTTTCGTCGGACAACCATCCAGAGCATAGGAAACATGCAATATTAAAATATCAGAAAACAAGACATAATCATCATTCTCAGTTGTATTTTCATTACGATTTTCTTTGTAAACATTCTATGCAGTGTATTGCTTACTTTTGTATAAATTTATTGCACTGTTTTCATTTTCAATTTGCGTCCAGGCTATAATTCGAAAAGTTAAAAGAAATTTTACAGCCAGATTAAACTTATAAAGATGAAACGCACCATAACACTTTTATATATAGATTTTGAGTGATAGCCCTCTGTGTAAAGTATTTTTTTTCATTTTTTATCAGGAACAAATCTGAAAAAAGGCACTTGATTTATCAAATTGAAACTTCAAAGCTTTATAGATCTTTTTAAAGAAAGGAAACTTTTTCAAGAACAATAATTCTTTTATGCATATTTTTGGATTTATTGAACATGATATCTGTTCATAAAAGTTTACATGTTCCGGTCATGATAATGGCAAGGGAAACTATAGTTTAACCCTGTCCGTCTTTGTGTGCGTGTTCGAAAACCTTGTCCATCCAGGAATGCTGTCATGCATACAACGTAGCATAATTGTGTAGCTTGATAATTTCAGAATTGGTTTATCATTTGCAAGTCCTAGAACCATAGCTTCAAGATATAATTCACATAAGTCAAACGGTCAAAGGTCAACAGTGAGAAAATCTCGCTTGACCCTTATCGTTGTCATGTATCAGGGGATTGTAAAATAACTTTGTAACTTGAGGATAACCTAGACTAGCTCCAATGTAAAGGTCAGACTTAGAGGTCAAAGGTCAGTAGTCAGAACATCGTGTCCGGCCGAAACTCTGTCATGTAGCGAAAGATTTCGAAACAAATTGGCACAAATCATATTGAGACGGTATGTGACTTTTAAAAGCAATAGTTGTACCTCCAAGGTCAAGGTTACACTGAATTGAATCTGGGGATGATAAATTAACTTAGCATGAGGAGTCGATGTGTAAAAGTCACTCTTAGTTGTAAAAGTTCAGCTGTTTGAAAATCTTGTCCAGCCAATATTCTTGGCATACATCACTGGATTTTGAAATATATTTTTGTAAATAGGTACACATGTGTTGCATGATAAAGGGATTTTTAAAATGTTAGCGCATTTGTTAAGCATGACGAGATAGTGTGTCAATTGCATCACATATACCCCTAGGTTCTAGGCCAAACTTCACACCTAAAAGTTAAAGGCTAGAAAATCTTCCCCAGTCTAAAATCGAGATTTTAAAGGCAGTGGGCAAATGTGTTAAGCATAATGAGTCCTTGTTAGCAATTGTGACATTCAATGATTTGACAATACTTTACTTTGTCTTATCATAAATTTGGTATCCTAACATATATAGCGGGGACATCTGTGTCCTTCAGACACATTGCTAGTTGTACTTTGTAATTTATCATGTTTATTTTTTGTCTGCAGCTAATAAAGTCAACACGATTTATCAAGAACTATATATCACTTTTAAGACTTTTCAGATAATTGTTTTGTTCAATCTTTAATTAATTGATACATGAGGATGTTTATCCCACTATCAATATATAATGAAGTAAATCAGAGTTTATATTGTAAACAGTTTGATTTTACCTGGTCTTATTACATTAACCGATGATTCAGTAAATTTGGTAATATGAGCATAAAGATGCTTTCATTGTATTTTCAATCTTAAGATTATAATTGTAATAATACATTAAATGAATTCACACATAACATTTTTTTTAAAAGTATGCTAATGTAATTATATCTAAAATGGATGACCTTTTGCTTGAATGATTGGCTTTTTATCATTATAACACTCTGATAAACATAGTACTAAGTAGCTTTTTTAGATTTAGAGTATTTCTTGAAATTTTGTTTCTAGACATTATATATGTTTTTATTTTTTTACC